TTCCATTCCTCTCCTCCCTCCAACATCAAGCGTCTCCAAAAATGACATTACCAGGCAAAGATTCAGGAATACGGCTTTTGTCTTCACTATAAAAAAGGAAACGACAAGTAATCCAAACAAAGTTGTACCGGGTTTAAGCCAGAGGGTTCCGATCCAAAGATCATCAATCCAAATTTGCAGAACAGCTATTTCTGGGAAACGATCGGTGCCTAAGCAGGAATGAGTGCTGGCAAATTTCACGGGCACTGGTGGAAGTACTTGCTTGACCAAGACCGAGATCAAAAACAACCATCCGAAATTAAAGGCTGATCTTGACAGATTTTCGAAGAAAAGTTCTCGCAGCGATATGGTCACCTTGGACCAAGGTCTGGAGACGATCGCAGTTTGGCGAGGGCGAATAATGGAACGCTGTGAAGATACAGAGCGGCATGTGCACACTTTGACAAGCGTTAGTATGGCGGAGATCTAAAAGAAGGCCAGTGAACTTGCCAAAGCTATCATGCAGCCGCAAAAGACTATCTAGAAGGCTTTCAGTCAACCGAGTCATTAGGCTGCTAGAATCCCTCAAACGAGGTAGGATGCCCTCGCAGATTGGCCAAAAATTGAATTCATAGCTGTGCTGGCCAGGAAATCCATTCAGATATTTGAATTCTAGAAGATCTTGCTCAAGACCCTCTTGACTTGCTCTGGCTGATCCTCTGACCTCTTCTTGGTCGCTACTTGTGTCTGTTTGAAATGCCGTGGCCGTTCTCCGCCTTTTTTTAAATCAATAGCAGCTCCCTCGCTCGTGGCTTCATCCAGATTCTTCCTTCGCTTCGCAGCCTTCTTCGATTCTATAGTCTCCAACATCTTCGCTCTTTCCACGTTCTGCACGAATTCCTTATTCTCCTTCGTCGTCTTGCTGATTTCTGCCCTCATTCTGCTCGCCCTCTCTGCGTTTTCGGAGGCAATCTGCTCGGTCAGATTATTCCACTTGAAGCCCTTCAGATACAGCAGGTTCCAGACGTCATCGTGGTAATATGTGCCCTTCTTTCCTCCGATGGTCTTTGCATTCAAAAGCTCGCAAACATGCTTCGCATGGACTTTGCTCACGAATTCTACCCATCCGTCCACGAACGACCGCTTCTTGTTCCCTCCGTTGCGTACTCGGCGGGTATGAGAGGCGGGATCCTCAGGCGTCATAAAAATGCGATTGATAGGGCCGTACGGCTCGAGGAGTGATCGAAGCTTTTGGGGTTTCATGAACGGCGGTATTCTGGATAGATAGACAACGCCAGATTTTTTGATAGCTGCTGCTGTTGCAACAAGGTTCTTTTTGGTGAGGGGCTTCGATACGCCGGGAAGCTCTGCAAAATCATCCTCCGTACGATGCTTATCCTTCTTCTCCTTCACTAGACCTGCATTTTTCGATTCCTCTTCCTGAAGCTCCTGGTCGGAATCGTCGTCCTCTTGTCCATCTTCGCTTGCAGCACTGTCGACCTTCCTACGCTTTGGACCCCTCCCGCCCTTCTTCAGATCTTCAAGTTCTGAGTCATAACCATGGCTCTGGTCATTGTCGCTCTCGCCAGCGCTGGCATTGAGAAACTCGTTGTGCGTGCGCGTCGACATTTCGTGGGATGCTGATGAAATTGAAAGTCGCGGACGGATAAATCCAGAGAGCTTTTGACTCGGTTCCTTCCTCAGACTAGCTAGTCCCACTTTTCTTCACCGCCCGAGAGGCCGGGCACTACTCGGTGATCTGGCGGGGAGGAAAGTGGGGGTAAGGCCGATACATCCCACCATATTATTCTTTATATACTTTCTCCCTCTACTTCAACCTCTTTAAAATGTCTCTTGAAACGATCACCACCATATCCCCAGTTACTAACAAGCCAATCCTGACCAGAAATGGGCTCTCGGCCTCGGATCTCGAGCTGCTTCCGCAAGTGGCAACCGAGGCGTTCCTGAGCTTCAGCAAGACCACCCTCGCGGAGAGGCAGGCAATTGTTAAGAAGGCTCTCGAACTCTTGGGCGACAGGCAAGATGAGTTGGCAAAGGAGCTTACGGAGCAAATGGGACGACCAATTGCATATACTGCCAAGGAAGTGTCGACTGCCGTGAAGAGAGGAGAATATCTCTTAAAGATCAGTGAAGACACTCTGAAGGACACAGAGGGCGAAGCAGAGAAGGGCTTCAAGAGATTCATCAGAAAAGTTCCCGTTGGCCCTGTTCTTATTCTTTTTGCATGGAACGCGAGTCATCCTCTGATAGCTTTGCTAGATCACTGGCTAACGAACTCCAACAGTACCCATATCTAATTCTGGTCAACTCCCTCATACCTGCTCTCCTTGCTGGAAATTCTGTCATCCTCAAGCCTTCGCCACAAACTCCGACCATCGTCGAGCATATATCCTCCATATTCTCAGAAGCTGGCCTGCCTTCAAATGTTATACAGTACTTCCACTGCGGATCTCCCACAACAATCGAGACAATCGTCAGAGACCCCAAGATTGCCTTGATCTGCTTCACCGGATCAGTAGCAGGTGGTATTGCCGTCCAGAAAGCCGCGGCAGACCGCGTTGTAAACGTTGGCCTGGAGCTTGGGGGTAAGGATCCTGCATACATCAGGTCTGATGTGGATGTTGCGTGGGCGGCCGAAGAAATTGTCGATGGTGCAATCTTCAACTCGGGCCAAAGTTGCTGCAGTTTGGAGCGTATCTATGTCGATGAAAAAATCCATGACGAGTTCGTCGAAGCTGTCCAGAAGGTTCTTGAGGGGTACAAACTCGGCGATCCCTTCGACAAGGAGACTCATGTCGGACCTGTGGTCTCAAAACGATCAAAGGACGCAATCGAAGCCCATATTAAGGATGCACTGGACAAGGGTGCGAAGGATGCTACTCCGGAAAATGAGTCGTTCTCATCTACCCCGCCTGAGGGTAACTACGTCAAGCCAACGCTCTTGACGAACGTTACTCACGATATGATCGTTATGACCGAAGAGACATTTGGTCCTGTGATTCCAGTTATGAAGGTGAAGAGCGAATCAGAGGCTATCAAGTTGATGAACGACAGTGATTTTGGTCTCACCGCCTCTATATGGACCAAAGATACCGACAAGGGGGCTGAATTAGCGGAGGAAGTTGATGCAGGGACTGTCTTCGTCAACAGATGCGATTATCCAAGCCCGGTAAGACTAAAAATTCTCCTTGTCACGATTCACAGGGCTGACTTGCACGCAGGATCTGGCTTGGACAGGCTGGAAAAACTCTGGAAAGGGTGTTACGCTGAGCAAGTTTGGTTTCGACCAATTTGTCAAGCTGAAGAGTTTCCACGTCAAAACCTACCCAAAGTAGACGAAAGATCCTCGCCAATATCTCCCGCCAACCAGATTACCCCGTAACACCAGGCATCGGGAGTGCTACACATCGGCGCTGATATTGCTAATGGAGCATGGAATTAGTTTCGTGTTGATTTGCCTCGTTGGACGTGTAATTGCGGCACGAGTTGGCTTTGAGCCTTTCAATTAACGAATTTAAATATTAGAGATCTTCAGAGAGCTTCCAAATCCTTTGGTTGCACATAGGGATACGGGGAATGCTGACCCCTGGCTCGCTTAGAGATTCGAATGCGATTCGTCCAATTAAACGCCATCCCTTAACTCACGAGAGGACACGCCTTACAGCAAGAGATGAGAATCAGGACATTGTTGTACAAGATAAGCTTCGTCCCGTCAGCCTGGGTTTCAATTACATTCTTCCTCAACCCTTCCCGCGACCCCCTGCCGCCGGTATTTTGGGAGTCCAAATAACGTCTCGCAGTCCACAAGACAATTGACAGGCTCTCCTAAACCCTGGCTGTCCATAATACTGGAGTTTAGGCCTTAAACACCACAAGTCTCCTCGTATGAGGTGACGATGTCAGCATTCCATGTCTCAAGTGAGCTTCATCAGCTATGGCAACCCGTCTCTGGGCACTCGTCTCTGGGCGCAAGGAGTATTACAGATCGTAATATCCGTTGCTCCGCGACTTCAAAGAATAGCAAGGCTAGCGCCACAGTTTCCTTTGTATTGTGTCACAGACTCACGCTAATTTCAGGATCTCGATATCGCGTTGCCCCTAGCAGCAAGTTTCCATCTCGCTCAGAATTCTCTACACATGCCCATATGCATGTATATATGTGCCAGGCATTCCCGCACTAAGATGAGTATGTTTTTTTCCAGCAGTGCGGCTTAAAAACTTGCAATCACAATCTTTTCTGGCGGTCTCCTTTATTCTGTCTTTCCCTCCTTAGTATATCTGTCTTTCCGTCATTCGTTTCATCAGCCAGCGTCTTTTGTCCTGTTTTGATGTAGTACTATCTTCTTCGACCACTGCCTTTAAAAACATACCAAATCCGAATCTATAATTTTGCGAGCATCGTCATAGTCACGCTACGATATGGATTCCTTTCCAAGAGTTCACACCTTCTTCTCCAGCATTAGCAACCGCTGTCTCCGCATGCTCTGCTTGAAAGCCCACCCACCCTCTAAACCGATCGAAATCGTACGTCAGTTCTTCTGCCTACCCTCCAAATTATACTTATAAGATCCCAGAGTGCACCATTCAACTTCAAAGAAGGCCCCGCAATGCAATTCCCCGGCTACAGCGAAGACGAGTAAGCTTAGAATGCCCCGCCGCTGCTCGTATTTGTTCACACCCACCATCTGATCTTCTGACGTTGCAGCGCAGCATCTCCCTCATGCGCGAGAAAGCGCTCGCCTCCACCGCAATAGTCGAAGATGGAATATTTGACTCTGCGACGAGGAAGGTGGTGCCTGGGACATGGGGAGGAAGTTCTAGCTGTGAGCTCGTGGAGAGAGCGGTGTTTAACCCAAGGAGGGTCAGCAAAGGGGTGTTTACACTGAGTGAGGGATAGGGTAGGTGGAGGGTTGAGGCAGAAAGGCGTATCTATTTGGCTTGGGAGTGTAAGATTGGATGCTTCAGGGTTCGGAGTTGAAAAAGATTGGATAAAATTGGATATGGGGTGGACGAAGCCGTCGTGCCCTCTCTAAATCTGGGCGGAGTTGGATCTTGGCTTCAGACTGTTTGATTCATTATTTAGGAATCGGATCTGGGTGATGAGGATGATTATTTAATGGCTAAAAAGCCGAACAACTAAGAATATTGTCGCAAAGACATGGAGCAATCTAGGATGTGTTATTTAGAGTATTAATCTATATGTCTCCTTCAAAGTGAATGCTGTATGATAGCCTGAGGAGAGAAAGCTTTTTGAAAGCCATTGGCTAAACTGGCTTTCATATTTTATAATACCACGTAACCAACCAGGCCTTAAGTTCGGACTAATATGCCACGCCAGGCCGAATACTCAGCAAGCTAGGCTGCATATATCCATCATCCCAAGCAGGCGATAACCAACCGAGTGCAATATTCATTCTCCCAATGTGAAAATTCCCAGATACCGTCCTTAAGAGGCAGGAACGACATGAAATGAAAAAAGTTGGCATTTATCTTAGGTAAGAATAGCTTGGGACTATTGTCAGCCTCTAAATTCATATCAATGCGCAGATTGGATGTCCTTTCGTCAAATCAGGCAAGTAGTGTTGTTTATTCTCAAGTCGAATATTCTGACTTCATCTCCCTTTTGATTTTCCCCTCTCTCCTGAAACTCACCAGTCCCTTTTCCTGAGAACACAGTTCGACAAGGAGAGAGAGCGAACAAGAAAGCTGGGAAGAGAAAGTTGTCGCCTGGCGAATCGCGAATCACAACGGAAGAAACGGAGCCATATTTGAAGCCGCGGAGAACGAATCTTCATTCATTCGTATGTGTATTCCGATTCCCAAAAGCACAATTGGTATCTTGTCCCCCAAACGCCGCCTGAAAATCCATCACCTACCCCCAAAGCCAAAGACTTCCACAGCCCATAAATGCGTCCTGAGCACCCTTCTAGTAAGTAGCACTTCAAGTCAGATCCGATCTCACGATAAGAAGGGGGATGGTACGTACCTTGAAGGGGCGCCTATTCGGGGCGGGCTTAGGCCTATCCATCCGATCCTCTCCTCCTCCAGCACCTATTCCTCCACTCTCTCCCCTCGGGCCGTCATCACTCAACAGGAGCTCCATGTTGCGGCGAATGGTAGCCAGTTGCTTGGCGGTCACCTCCTGAATGAGACGAGCAGGAGCTGCAGAGAGAGTTAGCATTATCCTCCCTGAGATCGATATCTGAAATAGAGAATTTCTTGCCGTCAGTACCCTTGCTGGCAGTGCTAGGAGTGGCGTCTTGGGCATTGGCTGGGGAGGGCATGTTGTTGGTTTAGGATGTGTGTGGAAGGAAATCTTGGGTTTTTGTGTTGTTCGTGGGCTGTTTGAGGAAAGTGTAAAGTAGTGAGGGAGGAGGAAGAGATCGAAAACGAGAATTTGGGAGTGGATGAGAAGGGAATACCTGGTGGCGCCTTGGCCGGGGTGGCGGGGCGAGCGACAACGGGAGCGACAGGAGCGGCAGCGGAAGGAGGTGGTGGTGTTGGAGGACCAGCACGAGGGGCAGTGGATGCTGCGGGGCAATAAGCCAGCCGGCAAGCTTCGTCTGCTTCAACCCATCGAGGCCTGAGTCTTGAAAATTCGTCAAGGCTACGATAGATTAGCTTAGATCGAAGATAAATGGTCAAAAGATTGTGATCTATCGATGTTCAATCCAAGAGCACTCACGGTTTTTTTTTTTCCAAGAGGCATTGTTGATCGTTGTTGTTGGTTGTTCTTGGTTGTGGAGATCGAAAGCTTCGTTTGAAGAGATCGAAATCTTTGTCAACTGATGATGCCAAGGAGAAAACATCAGAGTCAGTCGGGTGTTTATGTAGTCGGAGAGCAGCTTCCTAAGCGAGATTTCGGTAAAGTCAAACTAAGCTATTGTGATTATGTCATTAAATAATATTATTGAATATGATAGCCAAACACGTTGAAGCCATTTAAAGAACAATCTCTAAATTCACTCATCACTCAAGGTCCGGAAGGCTCTCGTTCAGAGCTACACGACCTTTGTTGACATTCTTAATTAGCCGAGCGGCGATTTCAGGGGTCGAGAATAGTGCGAGTATCTAAGAGCAAGGAATTGCGGGCTTCAGAATCAAGCACTCTGGAGTCAACGCTTTCAAATCCAAAAAGGGATCTTGCTAACCAGTATATAAAAAGGGACATATTGGAATAGGAATCTTATGGTCGCTTACCGACCACGGGATCGTATGCCCGAAGCTTAGCCGAGCATACCAACTTTTTATACGAACTTTAACCTAATAGAACAGATCATCAATCAATTTTATTATCAACTAAAAAACCATTTCACTCGATTCATCAGTGTATATATGTATACTTATCAACCACCTAACTGAGTGATTCCAACAGGACAGGAGGTACTCAAGCTAGCAGGGATATCTATGGCATGACAGTTCCCAGCCACAAAAGCAAAGCATAAATCAGACATACAAAGCAATTTACAAAGCAGCTTTAAAGATCAGTTATTGGACTTCACTGCAACCAGAATATAATTCTCATCTATTACTACAGATCGGCATTTGGACAAGCTTGCTCGTACCTGGTCCTGGGAAATGACGCCTTACCCAGCTAATACCGAGCACACATTAAGGTGTCTTGTTACCACTCAATCATCAGTAAGATCGACGAAATCATAATACGTCGTCTTGGTCTCCACCAGTGTACTCACTCGCTTCTCGTCTTTGGAACCTAGGCGGCTGTGATCTTGAAGAACATCATGAATCGCATGCAAACCTTCAAATGCTTCATACACAGTTGAACAAAAACCTTGTGGGAAAAATGGGAAAGATTAGCGAGTACAATAGTCGCTTCTCGCGGTATCATTAGCTTAAAAGATCAAACAAGGATAGTTGTATAAAGTTTTCCGCTAACACATTGATCTTAGCCGTATCGAAGAGGTTTCAAGAGGCAATCTTGAAAAGAATAAACTATACCTGCGAGGCTCGCTAAAGCCTTGATCCTTGCCATGTCGAAGAGGCCTCGAAAAAGGGGAAATTGTAGATCTCAAAAAGCAGCCCCAAGAGAAAGAAACTCGAAGTTGAACAATCGTCAACTTATTGAAAGAGGCGCGTAGAGATTTTCGGGGAGAATAATTGTAGCAGCGATAGTTGAAGATTTCGTCAACAAAGGTTGCAACGATAAAAAAGAGCGCTGATCGCAATCGACCTTGTTATAGCGAACCGAGATGAAATGGAATCGATAAAAGAAGGTTAAAAGCGTAGAGCTCAGAAAAGCGTAGAGCTGGATAGAGGCTACATTCATCTAATCGATAAAGATCAAAAAACGAAGATCGAGCTGGGTAAGGAGGAAAGAAGAACTGATGTCTGGAGGCCTCCTTCTATATTGTGAATCGTGCCTTGCCCGAAGCAGGACAGAACAATCTATTTATACTGCTGACGTTTGTTCCATCAAGCAGTTTTCCAACATCTAATAGAGCTGCCAAGATCGACTCCACCGCCTCCAAGCGCAGGATCCACTTCCATATTGGCATCTGTTTTCCAACACAACTATGTTTGCAGCATCGACAAGAGCATTGGTGGCATTATGCGAGTCCACGTACTCCAGAATGTCGAAGGTAGCACAGCGAGGTGCATACGTTACAGCTATAGCAATTACAATCAGTACGTGCAACGCATTGATTTCGGCTTGTAGGAGGAGATTCCATCGCAGTTTCGAAAGCACACATTCTTGTTAAATGAGATGCTTGGTCCGTCTGCTGACCTCGTTCGTGACCTGATTCTACATTCTCATCGAGTGCCTTGTAGAGATATGATTGCCACCGTGAGAAAATTACGACGGCATTGGTCGATATCTTCTTGGACGCAGCCAGCATATGACTGAGAGCATTCACTGGTCTCTTTACAGTGTGCGTTGATCGGGCAGCGAGTGTGGATGGCATGTCCTCCTCGAACTCTGGGTGAGACCGTTTCTGGGGGTAAGGGCGCGGCTTGATACCCAACAGCATGGATTGCGGCAGGTACTATATCCCTACCTCGTTTACCTATACTCTCCTCTTCCTGTGGATTAAGCTTCTTTCACCAGAGGCCTTCTCGCTGCTGGCTGGCTTTGAGAGCTCTTTCTGGGATCGGTGAAACGCCCTCCTGTGGAATTTGGTTTTTGATCTCCATTAGAGTACAAAAGTTCTTCCACCAATGCCATGTCATATACGGTGGTGGTGGAAATCCAAGTCTTCTGATCACGATTTGCTGCAGCTTAGAGGACATAGCAGATTCTGGATTGGATGGGTATCTGACATTTGATAGCATCTAGTGATGGGCCAACTCAGCCAATATTGAACTCGCTCGATACCGACATGTGTTCCTTCATCTTCTTCTTCATCATCCTGGCAGCATCATTACCGTTGACACTTGGCAAATCCCTATCCAGCTTCTTCTGCTTCCGTACCCGCTCTCCCTCAGGAGCCTTGTCCTCCACCTCTCCTCTCTTGGCTTTCCTCGCAGCCACACTTCTGTCGGCCTTGGTCATCTTTGCAGGTCTTAATCCAGGTACTTTGATGCTACCGGGCTTGTCCCGCAAAGCGAATGCTTTGGCCAAATGTCCCAGATGCAGAGTCTGCATGTTGAAAAATTTGCGCTCGCTAGCTACGTGCGTTGCATAGGCACGAATATGACTCTGGTACCCGCGACGCGCCATCTCCAGGTATTTCGGCGAATCCTGGGCCCAGCGTTCGATGTCTAATTGCCATTCCGTGGCACGTTCTTCCCAATCGTTCCCAATTCCGCCAAATCCTTTCTGTAGCAGGTCTGTCGAAGTGTTATGTGTCAGGGATTTCTTGCCGTTTCGGTATCCAGATGCGAGTACTTCGACGTATTCTTCTTCTTCACCAGGCATGAGGAAGATGAGGGCTCGTCCGTCCTTTCCAGCTCTTGCTGTTCTACCAACACGATGGAGATGGTCATCTGCGCTGAAGGGAGGATCATATTCTATGACATAGTCGACGTTCGGTAGATCCAGACCTCGAGAGGCGACATCAGTACAGATCAAGACGCAGGGTTCCGAAGATTCGGTGAATGCTTTGAGGGTTGCTGTTCGGATGTTCTGTGCCAAGGAGCCATGGAGTTTGTGTAAAACAACAAAGTTGGTTTTACTTGAGATTTCTGTACCGAGAGCGATAGTGTCTTTGGTGAGATCGTTTCTAGTGATCGTCGGAGGCTTGACTGCTGTCTCTCCATCCTCAGGTGATAATTCGAGGGGGCGACTGAAGAGTGAAAAATGAAAATCGACCGAATCTGCGCAGGATATGAATACAATCGCCTTCATCACAGAACCTCGTCTAGCAAAGGCTCGCTTCAGGATGGCGGTCAATGTAACTAGTCGCAGCTTGGCTGGCACGACAGCGTAAGCCTGCTTAAGTTGTGCAGGAGCCGAGAACTTCTTGTCGTCTGCTTCGACCCCGGCTTGTTTGTCCTTGGCGGCCTCTTCTTCAGAGGGATCCGCCTGAATGTGCACGGCGTCCTTCAAACTGATCTCTCCCAATCTTTGAACGTTCATCTTCATCGTGGCGGAGCAGAGGACGGTGATTCTTCGCTTGGGCAGTTTGGCGAGGTCCAGGGTATGTCTCTTGTTCACGACAAGCTCACTCTTCCCGATCTTCTCAACAATTCCCTTGATTTCCTCTTCGAATCCCAATTCCATGAGTCTATCACCCTCATCCAATACCAACCACCTGACTTTACTCACATTCAGGACTTCGGTGTTGTCCAAATGGTCTGCCAGTCGACCAGGTGTCGCAATCAAGATGTTTACACCTTTCCGTAACCGAGCCTTCTCCGACTGCTTGCTCTCTCCTCCAATGACAGTCGTACTCACGATCCATGGAGCACATCGGAGGATCTTTTCCAGAACTGTTGCAATCTGCTTGCACAATTCCCTGGTAGGTGCAAGGACCACGGCAAAAAGACCAGAATCTCTATGTACCTGCGTATCCTTAGTGCTCATGCCCATAATCCGCTCAACAATTGGTAAAAGATATGCCAGGGTCTTTCCAGAACCAGTCTCAGCTTGTATGAATGCATCGCTGTCATCTTTGAGCATTTGAGTGATCGATGCTTTCTGGATCGCTGTTGGTGCCTTCATGTCCATTTTCGTTGACAGATGAGCTGCTAATCTTATTGATAGTCCCAGGGCCGTAAACGTAGCCATCTCTGGAGTGAGCGGCGCATTAGAAGGCTTTGCTGGCTCTGCCTCTTCGTCGGGTGCCTCAAATGCTGTCTTTCCAGAAGGATTGAACGAGAACAAGGACGAAATGATTTGAGTGGGCTTCCCACCACCTCCAGTATTAGCTTTTCCAGGTACAAATGCCGGCTGATAGTCATCCTCGAATTTAGTGGTCTTTTTCGTTCCGAGGTTAATGCTTCCGGGTGGCAGTTTTCCAGACACAAATGCAGGCCGTGTCTCTTCTCGCACCGTGGCTTCGCGTCTTTGTGCAGGTCTCGTGTCGTCCTGGAAAGAAACAGATCTCTTGCCGCCAGTTTTTATACTCCCGGGAGGTAGTTTTCCAGCAACGAAGGCAGGTCTTGAATCGTCCTGGAAATATGTAGATTTCTTCCCGCCAGTACTTATACTTCCGGGAGGTAGTTTTCCAGCTACGAAAGCAGGTCGAGTATCCTCTTTCGTCCATCCTGCCTTTTTTCCACCACCATTGATGCTTCCAGGAGGCAATTTACCAGCCACAAATCCAGACCGGTAATCTTCCTGGGAAGACGCCCTCCTGTTTTCTATGCTCGTAGATGGTGCCTTTCCGGGGCCGAGCGCAACACTGTTCGCACTGTTCGACTTTTCTCCAGTGTCGTGGTCAACTCGTTGCCGTTTCGGTGGCCTTGGTGCTGCTCCCGGGCCGATGTACTCCTCCACCGCAACATCATGCCGTTTCTCCTGGAACAACTCCCTATCGGCAGGATTCGTTGATCGCGCCAGTGCCCTCTTCTGTGTAATTTTCTTCGCTGCCAGTCGATCCCTCCATCTCCCTCCTTGGAAGACCTGTTTAGGGATCAGGGGCGCATCCCCGAGGTCGAAGTTCATGATCATACCATCGTCCGCCATTGTTGCTGATTTCTGTTTGTGGATGTCGCTGAAAGTCGCTTCAAAAAAAAAAGTTCAAAACATCCAATGTCGCGACTAAAGATTATCCGTCCCCCGCAGCGAGCGCTAGCCGGATTAACTTTCGGCTGTGAACCGCAGCGACACTACCGGTAGATAACATCACAGGCTTATATGTGCGCCCTAGATACCAACACAGATGGATATTCGAAAAGATGGAATCTAGAGGGGCAGCTGAATTGAGTCGTGGAAAACTTGTCCCCAATTCTGACGAAAATACGAACCGTAATCATGGGGCTCCCAGCTGCCCAACGATTTGTACCTCTCTTTGAGCGAAGAGTAGCTCCCTCGAAATTTATATTCAGCACTTCCCGAGCTTTCTCTGCCACTGCCGCTGGGCAGGCGCGAAAGAGCGACCAAGTAATACCTAACACATCTATCAAAGTCTTCCGCGAGATACCAGCCCTTCGACAATGGCGCTCCAAACAGCTGCACGAGTACAGGTCCGTTGGTCTTGTGCCCACCATGGGAGCTCTTCACGAAGGCCACCTCTCCCTCATCCGGCTAGCAGCTAAAGAGAATTCGGCTGTGGTGGTCAGCATATACGTCAACCCGACCCAGTTTGGTGTGCACGAGGATTTGGACAGCTATCCCAAGACGTGGGAGAAGGATACGGAGATGCTGCGAGACTTGGATAGAGAGCTGGCTGCGGATGGTGGGAATTTGGGGAAGATCGCAGCAGTGTTTGCGCCGACGACGGAGGAAATGTATCCCAGTGGGCCACCGAGCCAGGAAGTGGATGGGAAGGGGAGCTTCGTTACCATCACACCTGTTGGGGAGGTGCTGGAGGGCGCTAGCCGGCCTACCTTCTTTAGAGGGGTTGCTACGGTCTGCATGAAGCTTTTCAACATTGTCACGCCTGAGAAAGTGTACTTTGGTCAAAAGGATATACAGCAGACAGCAGTTATCAAGAAGATGGTCAAGGATTTCCGGATGGATACGCAGGTTATTGTCGGAGAGACGAAAAGAGAGCCTGACGGGTTGGCGTTGAGCTCGAGAAATGTATATCTCGGAGTTAGAAGGAGGGAAGCCGGCACGGTACTCTCACATGCCTTGAGAGTAGCCGAGAGAGCGTATTCATCAGGGTCACGCAGAAGACGCGATATCTTGGATTCGGCAAACAAGTTGGTTGAATCGCGATTGGAAGAGCAGCTCCACATGGGGCCCGAGAAGCAGGTCAAATTTGAGATCGACTACATCTCGTTGGCTGATCCTGATACCATGCAGGAGCTGGACGAAGTGGACGACACCAAGGGGGCTATTCTCAGCGGAGCTGTGAAGATGCTGCCTGTCGAGTCCCCGCAGGCAGGGGAAGATATCGGCTTAGCTGGTGGTCCACCCGTGAGGTTGATTGATAACATCGTCCTCAAACCTGTAAAAGTATAACCATCGTCGGAATACAACCCCAAGAGCATCTCGGAGGCGGCGCCGGATCTCAACCACCCGTTCTGTTAGCATTTTCGACTGATTCATGAATTTTTGGACCCAAAGTAGCTTGATTGCGCTGCAATCGTTCACAGTATTTGGGGTATCTTTGCTACGACTTGTACCTTTCCTTCTTGCTTCAACTCTTCCTCTTCTTCTTCGTCTCCTTCTTTTTTCTTCATTCACCCAACTTTTTTCATCTTTTCAGAGAATAAATAAATGTTCTCCTGCCCGCCACTCACTCACTGATCATCCTGTACATACCCCAGTCGCAGCCCTGCGAAAGCTCCATCGACTTGAATGCAGAAAGCGCAAGAGTCATTAGCCCTTAATCGTGTACTTCCTCCCCCTTCTCCTTGCGCCAAGGAAAACCCCCCCCCCCGGCATTGTCATGCATGAATTTCGGGCTCTCCTCTGCTGACTCCTGAGGTTATCAAGCGGAGGATTCCGACGACGGTCCGTAACGCATCAGAGGGGTAAGCTCATCAATTGTTCACTAGAGCTCATCCGTAGTTCGCGTCAATCTCCACCTTTATTAAGGACAACCCCCATGTTTACTACAAGCACACTAGCCTCGCTTGATCACGTGTCGCTTAGAATTGTATCATGAAATACAATTTAAAGGTGAATGAATAAGTCACGTGTGAAGTATTAGTTTTTCACATCGCAATCGTATTACTAATTTAATTATTACTCGGACGGAATCTGTCAAGTAGGTTATTAGTTGTAATGACTGAATATGCGTTGCATATAAGGGAGTCGATAAGAATAGAAAGTTAAAAGTTTAGATTTAAAAAATTTACGCGAACTATGGATGAGCTCTAGTGTACAATGGATGAGGTTGTTCCTGTAACGTAACGCATCGCATCGCATCGCATCGTCGGGGTATCTATCCACAGCGCAGCCAGGTAGATAGATAGATAGATGGATAGGTAGGTAGGTAAGCCGCTTTCCTCATCATCAAGGCAAGGCAAGGTTACTCGTCGACTCGCTTAGGTGGGCCTCTCTCCCCTCCTACCATCCTTTCGAGCCGACGATTATACCGTAGAATTGGCGTCACCTACCTGACTGACCGTGCTGCTCGAGTGGATACAGACGGACTGGGTAGTCAGTCATGTTTTCGTCAACATGCTGTAGGAATCTCCCGCTCGGAACTTTCTCGGCAGGCTTCTCTTCTCCGTAGGCGGGCGGTCCTGGACATACATGCATAGAGAGGGGATGGATGGATGGATGAATAACAATTGAGCTACGACAGGGGATGATGATGAGAATGTAGATGTTGGCAGCGTGGTGGAGATCCCTATTTATGTATGTACACGTGAATCGTGTATCGGTGGGAAGATACCTAGTACGGGGTGTGGGAAGTCACTGGTGACGTGGAAGCAGCGAAGCCTGTGGAGTCTTCGTGGTATTTACTGTACTCGGAGCCTGGCTGATCCACGGGTTGGTCGTGTTTGGCTTCCCCGTGAGGTGGGTGGTGCGACGAAGGGGGTTATGGGTTTAGCCTGCTCGATAGGTATGAACGCGTGAAGAGTTTCTTTAGGGGGGTTTTTTTTCCTGTTCGAAATGATTGACGGTCGATCAAAGCATCTCGTCCGGACAACACGCGATGCAATCTCCAATGCATTGTTTCCTCGCTAAACCTTTGCCCGACTGAGGAGATATTACTCGCTAGAACGTCCCATACGACTTTGCATCCTCCTCTCTCGCCCCCTCCAACTCCCCCTTCGCTTTCAATAGCTTCACATTCCCCTTTCCCTGCACTTTCCACCGCTCCAAGAACGCCGTCAGTTCCCCTATCGTTGCCTCGTCATCACGCACCAACAACACAATCGCATCATACCCCCCCGCACCAGGCACCACACCCCCAATCACCCCCCCGACGGCCTTCGTAACAGCATTCAGCAGCTCCGTCTGCTCGTCCGGCTCAATCGGTACCCCGCTCGCCAGACTCATATCCTTGATCAGCGCTCTGATGGCCACAAAATCCTCCTGGAGCTCGATCACACAGCCCTTGCCCAGCTGCTCCGCTAACAGATCATTGCAGCCTTGCAGATCATCCCACAGCATCTTGGCGTCGGCGGGCTGCGATGTCCGCCACTCCAGGACCTTCTTGACCATGGACACGGTTTGGGAGCCGCAGTCGACGTCGCACATCACGAGGGCCATGCCCGGGGGGATCGCGACGCCGTTCTTGGAGATCTCCGTGTCCCATTTCTGGGGGCCGGTGTCGTCGACGATGTTTTGAAGACGGGTTGCGAAGCCCGGAGACTTGGGCTCGCCAAGGGAGGAGAGGATGGAGGGTGAAAAGCGGCGGTAGATGCAGGTTCCGTAAACGGCGGCTGCGACGTCGAAGCCGGAGCCAACTTTGCCTTGGGCAGCGCAGTGGGCGGCCTGGGCGAGATTGTGAAGTTTGGAGCGGCTGGAGGGGATGGAAAGGGTGAAGGAGGGAATATAGTGGGTGAGGAGGGCGCCGGTGAAGGCTGTCACGAGAGCGGCGGAGGAACCGAGACCGGTTTTGTGGGCATCTTGGAGGCGGACAGCGAAGTCAGTGAAGGGGGAGGAAGGGAGAGTTGAGTTGGATGTATTGGAGTAGTAGTCATTGTCGGCGAGGATGGTGATATTGGTGGGTCTAAGGGTTGCGTTTGGGAGGAGCGTCGAGATGTATGTTAGAGCGTAGACGAGGGCGGTCTCAACGAAGGGGTTGCGGGAGAGGGGGATTGAGGAGTTGCTGTGACATGTCAGAGTGATATTGAGGGTAAGATGATCTTGTTAAAGAACAGACGACTAAATCGGAACGGATATAAGTATCGGAGCAACCGAGCAGCCAAAAGCGAAAGAAAACAAACCAATCTCTGGACAACCTCGCTTTTCCATGCCAGTTCCACGTGATACAGAGCTCGGGGTCGGGGGTAATAAGACCAAAAAAAAAAAAAAAAAAAAAAAAAAAAAACCAAGGAAACAGTCCGTAGACCTATCTGTATACCTACCCTTGCAACTGGGTAACTTCAACCCCACACTGATCTCCGACTAGACGATAGCCATAATCCCATGTGGCCTCCCGGAACTGCGGACTCTGCACTACAATCTTCGCGAGCTCGACGCCCGAGCCCGTCACGATATCCTGGACCACGACGTGAATGCGGGCGCTAAGGCCAAACACCAGACCGGTGTATTCGCGATCTAGGACGAGGTATCCGCCTGCGAGAAGGACTTTGCCTGGCGCGGAAACGGCTGTGGGAAGAGTAACGGTCGACGACATGGTTTGGGTTGTCTAGTGTGAAGGACTCGGCTCGCACGGGTTTTTGGCCTGACTTTGAGCTGGCTGGTGGTTCCGGTAGGTACCTAGCGTGGGTGGATGAGTGGAGTGAGAATAGTAGGAGACTGGGGGTAGTTGTAGTAAGTTAATAAGCGCGAGTTGGGGCTGGCTGGCGTCTGGACCAGTACAGCCGGGTGGATCTGATAAGGAAAGTATGCCTGTTGATCCCGCTTTCCCCGACTGGATCCAGCGACGCAGATCAGAGTTCCACTTTTCCTTTTTGGAAATGATGACTGTTAGATGTTTTGCCTTGCTCCATAGAAAAACTCTCTTATCCCGTCGCATCTGCCTTCGACTCCTTTTTTTTCCGTGACGCACACCATCTCGAGGCATCGCGCCAATAATCAACTTTAATATTCCTCTCCATTCCTTCCATCATCAAATTCTTCCAAGCCCTCGACCTTTTCGACATCTTCGACATCTTCGACACTTTCGACATCTTCGGCATCTTCGGCATCTTCGACATCTTCGACCTCTTCGATATCTTCGACCTCCACAACCGCCATAACCTCCACGACTCCCTCTCACCCTCGAGTCCAGTCTAATACAACTAACTGTACAGCTGTCACCAAGCTCCTCGCCGTCGACACCTCCCCTCAATTCAATTAAGCGCGTTTGTTTGACGGCCTGGCTGTCAGATGAACCTGCACTCGCCGATTTAATTGAGATTTAATGTCAGTCCCTCCATCTCTACCTCCCAGTGCCAGAGCTGACCTCGCTCGCCCCCCTACAGTCTCCTCTCAGCCAAGTTCGAGAGGTCCACCGTCACTAAATGCCAGTTTATTCGCAATTCGCAGCGACTCTTGCACGTCAAGGTCCGAAAACCATCACTCACGGTTACGCGCAGTCCTTCGTCGCCGCCACTCATCCCCAACTCTACGCTACCTCCAACCGTCCCGGCTTCGGTCTTCGTCGTCACCCCAGCAAAGCCGGATATTTCGTCCCATACACCTTTCAAAATGCTTTCCACACCAGCTCAAAGCTGTCGACTGCTACCCAAGTCGTGCGTCACGAGAAGCGCGATGGAGGTCTAGATGCATACTTCGAGGCTTGGAGGAAGCACCATGTCCCTGGTGAGCCCGAGAAGGAGTGGGCTCAATTTCAGTTCCCCAAGCTCATCGAGTGGAAACCACTGATCGAGGTTGATGGAGAGGGTCGAAGCAATGTTCAGACGGATGCCGTTGCAGAGGCCCCGCAGACTGTCGAGAGATCGTACAGTGCCAGCGCGGTGGATGACTACAACAAGTTGGCCGCCGAAGAGGAGGCTGCCCTGGCTAAGATCGATGCTGCGATTGAGAAGGAGATCAAGTCGCGCAATGACCAGGCCATCTTTGAGGCCGAGTTGAGCGTTGTCGCCACTCGGGTGCCTACACCACCACGAACCTCGTCTCCCGCTCTCTCCTCCAACGAGTCTCTTAGATCCCCTAGCACCTCGGTGACCACCCTCAGCACCGCTTCCGAGCTCCAATCCCAGAGCTATGCAGAGCACCTCTCGAAGCTGTCCAAGGATCGACGATACAATGAAATCCCAGCAGTCTTTGAGGCGATGCTCGTGGCCAACATCCAACCTAATGCTACAGCCTACAATGCACTCCTCGATGCGGCTGCCCATCTCCCAGCTGAGAGAATCCAAGTCGTACCGAAGGCCCTTGATGTCTATTCTGACATGCTTCGACGCAAGGTCCTCCCCAACACGGCCACCTACAACAATCTGATCAACCTGATCTCTTGCCGGTCTATCGAGGTTTCTTCGCTGAGACAGTCTCTGGAAGAGAAGCGTGCTCGTTTCGGTGGTATGGAGGAGGCTGGCAAGTTCATGTTCGCTTCTAGCGAATTTGAGTTTGCCATTCTCGCCGAGGACGATCGCCTAGATCTTGCCGTGCGCATGTTTGAGGCTTCCATCACCCTACGCACCGATCGATCGTACCCAGCCGAGACGTACCACAACCTAATCACGGCATGCTCAGAGGTCGGTAAGATTCCAGAGATGATCAGATTTTACCAGCATATGGAAGCAAGCAAGGTTACCCCACTCGCTGGCACTTTTGCGCCTATGATTCAAGGATTCACCCAAGTTGGCGATCTGCGCAGCGCAGTTGAGTGTTATGACGAGTACAAGCAGCTCGCCATCAAGAACGACGAAGGTGAGATCGATCTTAGTGACAGACAGGACGCTCAAGTCTACGCCGCACTTGTCAAGGCATACGTCAAGTCCGACAGAATGGAGGGAGCTGTCCAATTCTACCACCGTATCCTCGAGGCCTACCCCGATAAGGTCACTGAGTTTGGAGATTGCGTCATCAACGAAGGTCTCGTTCAAGGTTTATTGGACAAGGGACTCTTCTCAGAGGCATTTGGCTGGGCTGAAGCTCTCAGTGGATCTACGAAGAACCATGCCATGGGCAAGATTGCCAGTGCGGCAGCTGACCAGGGTGACAGAGCTGTTGCGGTAGCTGCCTTTTCCCAGATCACTGTGAACACAGCTACTCCAATTATGGCCATGTTGGCCCTCAGCATCCGCCAGGGTGATGTCGCATCAGCTCAGAGATACTGGCAATACTTGTCGGCCTCCGACATGCGTGTCACATCGAGCTTCATTGAGCCCGCTGCCATGTATGCTGTTGCAATGATTGGATCTGGCCAGGTGCTTGAAGGGCTCGTACAATCCGAGCAGATGTTCAGCCGAATCCGCTCCTCGGTCGAGCCCACACAGCATCTCCACGATGAGATTGAAGAGGGCGTGGAATTTGTCAATAGATTCATGTCAACTCACGGTATCATGGATCCTCGCCTCATCGAGGCAACTGTCTACCAACAGCTCCCACCGTTTGTACCAGCATACGAGGATACGTTTGACCCTTACTCTGCTTCGACCGACTTCAAGGGCTCTGCTCTGATCGCTGATGAGCTTGAGAAGAGTACCAACGGTCGCGGTAAGGCTTCCCGTCTCAATGAGGCTCTCGGTCGTTTCAGAAACATCCGCCGTGCTGGGCGCCACCCCCGCTACATCACCTACGCCAAGCTCATCTCTGCCGCTGCCAGAGAGGAACGCATGAACCTCGTTCTCGACGTCCTTGGTATGGCTAGATCCGATGTCCCGCTTCTTCTGCAATATCCCGTCGTGCGCTATGGCTGGGTCTCGATTCTCGATGCTATGGTTGGAGCTTGCCTGACTCTCGGCAACCGCACTCTCGCTGCCCAGCACCACCAGGAGCTCCTTGACATGGGCGCTGCACCATCCGCCAATACTTTCGGCCTGTATATCACCACAATGAAGGAGTCGACCAAGACCTTCGATGAGGCCACTGAGGCCGTCAAGATCTTCCACCGTGCCCAGTCTGAGGGTGTCGAGCCATCTTCTTTCCTGTACAACGCTCTCATCGGCAAACTCGGAAAGGCTCGACGTATCGATGACTGCCTCTTCTACTTTGCTGAGATGCGCGCTCTTGGTATCCGACCTACCAGCGTCACCTACGGCACGATCGTTAACGCTCTCTGCCGTGTCAGCGACGAGAAATTTGCCGAGGAGTTGTTCGACGAAATGGAGTCGATGCCAAACTACAGGGCTCGGCCTGCACCCTATAACAGCTTGATGCAGTTCTTCTTGACCACCAAGCGTGACAAGAGCAAGGTTCTGGCATATTACGAGCGCATGAAGAGTAAGGGGATCCAACCAACCAACCACACCTACAAGCTTCTCGTCGACACGCACGCCACTCTTGAGCCAGTCAATATGCCTGCTGCTGAAGCTGTCCTCGACGTCATCCGAAGCACTGGTCAACGCCCCGAGGCTGTTCATTACTCGTCCTTGATCCACGCCAAGGGATGTGTCTTGCACGACATGGAGGGAGCCAAGGCTGTCTTTGATTCAGTTATGTCCGACTCCTCCGTGCGTCCCCAGGCCTGTCTCTACCAAGCACTTTTCGAGTCTATGGTTGCCAACCACCGAGTGGTCGATACCGAGCCTCTCCTTCGCGAGATGTCTCGCCGAGGTGTCGACATGACTCCATACATCGCCAATACTCTCATTCACGGATGGGCCAATGAGCTCAATATTGACAAGGCAAAGCACGTCTTCGCCTCCGTCAGCCGCGAGATGAGAGAGCCAAGCACTTACGAAGCCATGACCCGCGCCTATCTTGCCGTCGAAGACAGACTCGGCGCCAAGGTCGTCGTTCAGGAAATGCTAGGTCGAGGATACCCTGGAGCCGTCTCCAACAAGATTCTCGAGTTGCTCGGAGGTGGCCACGCTGAGAATGCCGCCTAGATCTCTCCTTTGGATGGAAGTTTTTTGCATGCCTTTTCCACCTTTCAGTTGTCTATACAATGCATAGATGATTGGCCTTTTACATTTTTCCTTTGTCACATTGATACCCGTGCCTTTTTGCACACTTTTGAGATTGCGGATTGGGGGGTATCAGGGTGGTGGGGGTTAATTGATGACCTGATTCAATATTCTAGCTGATCTACAAGTGCTCTGTTGCGTTCTATCAACATTGAGCGGGCGTTTGGAGTTATAATAGAGAGTATGCCAGCACGGGGTATGTTTGGAGGTTTCCATGTAGGAAACAAAGAAGGAAAGATAAATCTCAACTCCTCATCTAGCAACGGATGGATGGCTTGTCGGTCATAAAGATTGATCTGATGGACGCGTCTTGCGGCTAGCTCAAGATTGTATAATTTTAGAGCAAATAGATACCGGCCAGAATGGCGTGGTACATCTAAACCAGTTAGTACTTGCGCATCCTGGCCTTTTGATGTGCTCGCTGGGGGCCTTCATCGAACGACCCCTACTCGTTTACCTACAACGTCTTTTACCACAAGGCTTCACTGCCTAACCTCACCTGCTCATTTCCCTAAACAAGTCCGACCCAAGGAAGGACCCACTCATCCACCCTATCAGTTTCAAAGCTTGACTGAATCACCTACCCTTACTTCCTCTAACCTACTCCTCTACTGAACAAGGTCATGCATGATGTCCTGAATAAATCCTATTGAGAGACGGACCCTCCCTCTCTCTCAGGAGTTTTTTTTTTTTTTTTTTTTTTCTTTGCTGAAGATATGGCTTGATTACCAGATCCTTATCGCTATCCTATGTTCATTGATTCGATTCCTTGGATGATGGGGGATTTGGATTGGATTTGGTTTGGATTGGATTTGGATTGGATTGGATTGATGACTGGGTGAGTGGCTGGGTGAGTGGCTGTGAGGCGAGCAAGAAAAAGGAGAAGAAGAAGATGAAGAAGAAGAACGAGAAGAAGAACGAGAAGAAGAACGAGAAGAAGAACGAGAAGAAGAACGAGGTGATGATAAACAGGCACGGCAGCGTAGCATAGCATAGCATATCCAGCTTGTCAAGCACGGAACAGCAGCGCGGGTAGCACGGAACAGGCAGGCAGGCAGGTTGGTTGGATTGGATTGGATGGGATGGGTTTGATTGGATGTACTTGGGCAACGAACGCAACGCGACGCAACGCAACGCAACGGGGGAAGCAGGCTATGGAGGGAGTAGGGTTGGAAAGCTAGATAGGGCGATGGAGAGGTGGAGATGGAGAGGTGGAGGGATGGGTATGGGTATGGGTATGTGTATGGGTGTGCACGCGTGATTTATCTCTTTCTCTCTCTTTCTCTTCTCACTCTCTCTCTCGGTCTATTCCATGATATCTTCTCTTTTTTTAAAAAAATAAATCATGCGATCGATCTGTTTTTTTTTTAAAGAGGGAGGGAGAGAAGGTGTGAGAGAGAGCAGGTGAGAGTGAGGAGGGGGGGAGGAGAGAGAGAGAGAGAGAAGAAAAAATAAATCAAAATTCAACATCTAAGAAAAAGAAGGATAATAATATGATAGATATTATAATTATGTGATACTAACAAAGACCCCCCCTTTCCCCCATCCGCCCTCCCCAAAAAAAAAGAATCAAAGAAAGAAAACAAGAATTCAAAGAAACGATACTATGATAAGACGAGATGTAGGTGAGTAGCAGATTGATTGATTGATTGATTGCTTGACTGATGATTGATTTGTTACTCTCTTTAGCTGTGCTCAGAAAAAGGCTCTGGAAAGTGTTCAAACAGAGACAGAACAGAATATATATGCATATTTGCGAAAAACTAAATCAGCTAGGGCCAACGCCAACGCCAACGCTTGGTATTGCGCCCAAGGCCCAAGGCTCAATATCAGCAAAGCAAAGTCGGATTGATACATACACACAGCAGCCATGATGCCACTTCACTCATCTTCATCTTCATCGTCATGTTCAAAATAGTGCGATTTTAATGCCGTCTCGCTCTTCCGCGCAGCCTGCCTCCTCGGGGTCCTGCGAGGGGCAGCATCGGTAGCCTTGGCCCGCGAGATTGCATGCCTGCGTTTCTTCTGGGGCGGCTCTTCTTCTTCTTCCGATTCCCCCTCGTCCAGAGGGGGCGGCGAGGAGAGATCGTCGGTCTCGTAATTCTCCAAGTCGTGCATCTGCTGCTTCTGCTTCTGCTTCCCCTTGCCGGCAGGCTTTTGCAACGCAAGGGGGCGCTTGGCGATCGGCTTTGTTGCCGTTTTGCTGCTGCTGGATCCAGCTGCTGGCCGTCCCCGCTTCTTCGGTGCTGGAGTAGTCGCCTTCTCATCTCCCGTACCAGCATCGTCTCCTGAGGCGGCGCCTCCTTTCGAACTGATCTCGAGTGACTGCGGCGTGGCATATGCCTGGCCAGCCTTTGGTCTTTGCTCATAGTTCTCGACAACAAATCCACCACCTGATTCCTCATCCTCGTCCTCACGAGTAACAGGAAAGAAGCTTTCTCTTTGCGGCGGCTCTGTCTCCTCAGCATCAAAACCCTCCGGCAAAAACCCACCGGCCATATCCTCATCATCCCGATCCATAATCTGCTCCTGGGCTTCCGCTTCGCGATCATCGGCAGTCTGCTTCTTCTCTCTCGTCCACGGATTCAAAACATCGGCTTCCTCATCAGCATCTCCAAACTCCCCTCGGACTCTCTCCACAATCCGCAGTCCCATCAACATCTTCCTCCATGTATGCAAGACCATCTTCCGTGACTTCTCGTCCTCTTTCCTTACACGCTCAGCCTCTTCTTTGTGCCACTCTTCCATGATCGTATCGTGGTGCTCCTCAGCGACTACGACACCCGAGATGATCGGCACTGCCATTCTGTGGCCAAATTCAAAACCAACGACAGCTTCCGCATAGTCAATTTCAAGCCTCTTACAGATCTTGACAGTAGCCCGCAGTGGGATGTGTACTGCTCCTGCTGGAAGCATGCTATCAACATATAAATCAATATTACCGAAAGCGTTTTTGGGGATGACTCCATTCTCGATAGGGGGCGGAATGATCCAGTCCGTTTGCTCCCGAGAATACAGGCCCTGCAATACCTTCTCTCCACTTGCATGTTCTGCTTCAGCGAGCTCACGTCTCCGATTCGTAGTCGCAGCTCGATACGGGACCCGCTTCAAAGGCTGTTCCCCCTCTTTCGGGGCCCGACCCTCCTTATGCCAGGTCTCTATCGTCTTACAATTGACCACATCTTTCCGCCGAAAGACTTTTTCTTCCGTGCTCGCTTCCCCTTTGCCCTTCACAGTAAACATCTTGACGTGCTGTGCTTCAGGGAGCAGGGCTTCTTCCCTCTTTAAATGTCGTTCAAGGACGAAATCTGGCGAAGATTTGTAGTACTGTAACGTCTCTTTACCTTCTTCGACCTCTTTCCTTTCCGCCTTCACAGGTTTGAGATCAGCCGCTTCTTCATCATCGTCGACTTCGGTTCGTGGACACTTCTTTGATCCTCGGACGTAGCCACTCATGACTTGCTTGAACCAATCCTTCTGCTCGTAACGTTTGACTTTGCCATGTCGGTTGTATACGGGGACCTTTTCGACAGGCAACCGGAATCCTTTCGTTCTGCCCGGCCAGACATGACGCTTGAGATACCGAGTAGTGACATCCTTTGCCGTTCCGTCCGGAGAATGCCCGATGATGTAAGCTGTGACCTGCTTCGCTTTCTCTGATTTCGCACCGCGGGTCTCGAATTTCTCGACGAGTTGTTGGTTGTAAGCGCATACGTGGAGGACGACCGGATCAACAGGTGTGTACGTGTTGGTCACTGGTGATAAAACTTCCGTCCAATAATGAGGATGCGGCAAGTCCGTATCATATGCCAGATCTGGTCGTTTCGCCGGCCTGCGTCTTGGCGTGACATCTTCCACTCCATCACTGTCCACGTCCAGATCTTCAGAGTCCGAAAGATCTATTGGCGCCTCTTTGACGCCACTATCTCGGGATGGCTTGCCAGGCCTTGGGGTAGGCTTTTGTAGCTTCGTCGGCTTGGCTGGACCCTTTCCTTTGTTTGCAGGTCTGCAAGATTCATCTTCTCCGCTGGAGCTAGTGTCATCTTCGGGATCGTGATCGGCAATATCGACGGGTTTCTTGGTTTTCTTGACCTTCAAAACTCGAGGATTCTTCTCCATCGCCTCCTCCACCTGACTCCATCCAAATCCCAGTGGCTGCAGACTTGCCACTAGGCGAGCTTCGATTCCCAGACCTCTCAATAAACCAGTAAATAGCTGAGAGCTAACATCGCGACTACCCTCCATCGCTTCTGCACACTTCCGGAATTCCTTGAGGTTTCGTATCCGTTCGCCGTGTCGCTCCGGATCGTGCTCATCTTCCTTGAAGCTCTTGGTCTCCTCGTCTAATCTCTGAAGCGACATGTATCCCAGCTTTCTCAAACCAGGTGCCTGGATACTGAATCGAGTTCTCCAATACTTCATCAAATGTTTCATCAGCGTGAAGAGTGGATCGCCCGCACTCATGTTGACCGTCCCTTCAGCCAGTCTCCCAGCAGGTTCACCCCAATCCCTCTGACTTCTCGGATCAGCCTTCTTGCCCTTCGCAGCCTTAGCTTTCCCCTTCCCCTTCCCTCCTGTCGACTGCACATCCTCCCTCGAGGCAAGCCCACTATCACGCCTCCACTTCTCCACAGCCTGCGCTTCACGAGGCGACAGCTGCTTCACCAGAATCTCCTGCAGCTCCTTGTCGCAACACCACGCATTGCGTAGGGCATTGTGGAACATCAGCGCTTGCACATGCATCTGGTGCGTCGCAACTCGAATCCCCCTCTCGATCTTACTCGGTCCCTTCTTGGAGCCCAGCGGATTCGTGATCGAAACCCGGTCGTCCTTGTGCAGCACCAATTCGAGATCGCCCGAGGGTTCGGGGCCGGCGGATCTGGGTATGGGATTTGTTTCCACATCCTCGAATTCCATATCCTCCTCGTCATCTTCGTCGTCGTCGTCGTCGTCGCCCTCCTCCTCGTTGGGCCTCTGCCGTTTCGCAACAGGCACATCTTCGAATTCTGGCTCCGAGAGCGAGGAAAGAGAGCTTTCGTCGTCTTCGTCACCGGCTGCCAGTTTCTCGAGGATTGCTTTCTTGTGCGTGGCACTTCTCTTTGAACCAGTTCCCGCGTCTAGGTCGTCGAAGAGGGTGGGTTTTCGGGGAGTGGTGGTTTTGGACTTGGCCTTGCCCCTCGCCGGCGCGGGATTTGAGGGTCCGGCTTCTAGTGATTCTGATCGCAGACGTTTGCGGGGGAGGAACGGGGGCATCTTGTCACACAATAAACGCGGTGGTTCATGAATTGGCGGAACGACGCGTTGAAGTGTGTGTATTGGGACGAGTGTCGCGTTGGGAAAAAAAAAAAAAACACCTGCATCCATGCTCCTCCATGAGATCATCGGTGGCTCTTTACTCTACTTTAGCGTCAGGGACGAGCTTGAGGCTGGTGAATTGTGAAACCCTCATTTTTGGTTTGCATACAGTAATTAAGGTCATGGTGGATTTCCAGCCCCATGTCCGACGGATGTTTCAAGACCTTGTAAACCCCTCTAAAAAGTATTGGCAAGACAGCAGCTATGCGGGTAGGTTGTCGTGGATTAAATGGGCGTCTACTCGTCGGCATCTAAACACATTTTCGTCTTCTCTACTTATGGGATATCATCTAACCTCAACGCCATGCCAAAATTCCAATACACATCCCGGCCCTTCATCTACTGGCATCGGCCGTCGTCACATCGTGTCCATGCCTCTTTCTCCACTCCCTCACTCCCTTCTCCATCTCCCGATTCGACACTCCATCCCTCACCAGATACATCGTTACCCCCAGGCTCTCCACATTCCTATTCCGCGCCTCATCATCAAAAAACAGCATATCCTCGTATGGCAGCCCCGTCGCCTCCTGCAGCTTGTTGAAATGCGTAATCTTGTTTCCGGGGTAGATCTCCAGGTGGTCAAAGAACTCAATCGCCTTCGTCTTCTTGCCCTCCGCGTCCGCCACATGTAGAAGCCGCAGCATCTCTCGTCCTAGATCCGGGGCGGACGTACGGGATGCGGCGGCGACTGTGATGCCGGCCGATCGGAGGGAGGAGAGGATGGAGGGGACGTCGGAGTAGAAGGCGAAGGAGTCGCCGTGACGGTCTCTCACAGACTCATGGGTCGGCGCTGCTTTCAGCGGGGGGGTAACGTGGGTATCTACCCAGAATGGCCAGAGAGTGTAGTCAAGATCGAAGACTATGAGTTTGGGGAGGGCGCCTTCCGAGAAGCTGGATGGAGGGCCTGGATTTGAGTGTGCAGAGGAGGGGTCTGCGGATTTGCTGGGTTTCCTGACCATCGTGGATAGCAGAAGGAGGATAGCGAGGGAGTGGGATTTCGTCGTGGGTGTTGTTGTTGTTGTTGTTGTAATGCGGTGTGAGTAATAGGAAGCAGATACAACATTTCTGATAACCTTACTTACGAGTATTTCACGGTAGGGAAGCTGTACGTCACTCCTTCGTCCGGTGTTTTGGCAGGGGTGGGTAGAGGGATGGAGGACGGAGTTAGGTAGAAACGGCCTTTACTTACTGTACTTACGGTACTTACGGTACTTACTGTACTGACTGATCTTACGGTACTTATTGTACTTATTGTACTTACTGATCTTCTTGTACTTACTGATCTTACTGTACTTACTGTTCTTACTGTACCAAATTACCGCAGGGTCATGCAGGGTTGTCGCGTTGGGTATTTATCCGAACTTTTAGGCGTCAGCATTTCGTCCGTGTTGGTGTCAGTGCCCTTGGTTCCAATCTACTCTAAACCAAAAAGAAAAAAAAAGAAAAAAAAAGAAAGAAAAAATTATATATACTACTATATATAAAAAAGCAAAAGAAAAAGCAAGAGCTAAAGCAAAAGCAAGAGCTAAAGCAAAAGCAAGAGCAAAAGCAAAAGCAAAATTAAAAGTAAAAGTGAAAGTGAAAATACAAATACAAATACAAATAAAAATAAAAATATCGCCATTCCAGGTTAGAGTCAATATAAACCAACATCCATCCCCGCCACGTGCGGTCCAGGCTTCTTTTCTTTTTCTTCTTCTTCTTCCGCTGATACGCACATACGGAGTACAACCCTCCACCGCAGACCACAGAAAGCAATCGAGAGAAACGTCTTGTATCACTTGCGTATCCTACCATCTCCTCCCTATCCCTACCTGTCCACCATTTCTACGCAGGAATTCGAATTCCCCGATTCCACCTCACTTGCACACTCCACCATGCTCGATTCGCTCACCATCTTGGCCATGGCCGCTGAAGCCGTCCAGCGGTCGGAGAGCCTGGAGATGGATCGAGAATTCATCGTTCGCAGACCTCGAACCTCCGACGTTCCTCTTCTCGCAGACGTCGAACGCTCTGCAGCTCAGCTTTTTCGCAATACCGATTTCGAGGCGTACGCTGATGGTGCCACCCTCGACCCGTACGTCCTCGCCAGTCTGGCAAACGCAGGCTATCTCTGGGTCGCAGCAGACAGATTCGACCATCCCATTGGATTCCTGGGGGGCAACTATCTGAATGGCCATTTCCACATAATCGAGCTCTCCGTGGCAAAATCCTACCAGGGGCGTGGCATCGGCAGCGCGTTAATGTCCACTATGGTGCAGCAGATTCGACTCGAAGGCTACAGATCCATCACCTTGACGACATTCAAAGACCTGCCATGGAGCGGATGGTACGCACGCATGGGATTCGCCGAGGTGAAGGCACAGGAGATGGGGAGAGATTATGAGAGACTGGTCGAGCGCGAGGCACAGCATGGGCTCGATCCAAAACGGCGCTCGCTGATGCGCAGAGTGTTCTGAGTGCACCATCTGCACCACGGGAACTGCGCCTGTACACAAACCAATGTTCCCTGGCTCCTTGACTCCCGACGTATCGGAAGTGAGCCACGTGAGCTTTTCCGTACTCCGAGATGCAAGACGGAGACGTACGATGTGTTTCAAGGAAGCAGACATGGACAATCTCCGATATATTATCCGGTTGTGCGCGAGACGCAACCATTGTGTGGTCATGTACGATCTGCGAATCTGAGAGGCCTGGCTGCTGTGGAACTTGATCGTGTCCTGACAGCAGCGTGGAGGATGCTTTTCATTCTGGCTACCGGCAGCAGGAAAGAAGACCCCGTCCAAATACCTCGAAGCTTTTCCCAGGGCAGCTATTGTCCAGAGTCGATGCAAGAACGAGCGGCCAAGGCAGTGCGGTGTTGCGCGACCCAGCTAACAGTCATACGAGGAAACGCGGTGGTCACTTTGCAAAGTTGTAACGTAGAAAGGTGACGGAAGCTCTCCTGTCTCGGCGGAAGAAGTAGATTCGCTCATTCGCTCTCATTTTGTATAACGACCTATTATGTAAGGATTCAATGTCATGTTGTATAACGACCTATTATGTAAGGAGTTGGACAAGAATGAAACGCCGCGGCGCCTTATCAGCACCGAGCGCGATATCCCTCGTCCTTGACATTTCCCGAATGTTTTCTTTTTTATCGTTCGTCGCTTAGCTGAATTGATATCAGATTGATCAGTCAGATTGTTCGTCTGAACTTTCTCATCCTCCTCCAGTAAGCTTTCGGGATTCTACCCACAGTCTTGATCTTGAGACGGATGGCTCCGATGTACGTACTGTACGTACTGTAACGGCAGGGGTAACACATGGCAGCAGCTGCACCTCTGGACCAGAATCTTTCATCGGACAGCTGCAGCATCTTGCTTTGTTGAAGTATCGTAAGTATCTCGGCTCTGCTCCTATCGATCCCGGTAGGTATACTCTCTCTCCTTGGCATGCGACTGTATCTTTGGCAATCGCAGCGACAATCGTTCACGACCCTAGCTTCGTTCCCGGCTTCCCAGATCCCAGATCCCGCCATGTACGTAGAGTGCATCGGCATGCGTGGCTAGCATGGATATCTTGATATATATACTGGAGTCACGGCCGAGCGTTGTCCCGTTTTGTCCTTCTGTTTTGGTTCCCCTTCGCAAGGACGTTGCTCGGCGCGCTATTGTTTTCTTTTTCTCGGCTGAGTATATAGATATCGTACGCGAGGCCAGCCCAATTCCTCGTATATACGCCTTGCTCCAGATCGACAGAACGATCTCTTCTCTTCGGTAACTGCCCTCCGAATCGCCGCCTCGACCCAAATCGCTCTTCAAAGCATGAGGACCTTCTCTGAGAGAAAGACAATGCCTTCCTTCGACTCCGAGAAACGCATCATGCCACCCAACGACGACGCGCCTCACGTCTTGAATATCAACGAGTCTGGCCACATCCAAGAGCTCGAGCGTAACTTCTCCCTCTTCTCGATATGTGCCGTCGGCATCGTCACAGGAAATACGTGGGCTGCTCTCGGTGGCTCGATCGTCGTTGCCATCTACAATGGCGGACCGCCTGGCGTCCTGTACGAGTTCATCGCTGTGTCGATCTTCTACTGGTTGATTGCGGCGTCGCTTGCTGCAAGTATTTACTTTCTGGAGTAACGGGCAGACCTTCGGTACTAACACTTGAGCGGATAGGAATTGGCGAGTTCCATGCCGAGTAGTGCTGGTGTTTATCACTGGGCTTCTATCACTCCGGGTCCCAAGTATGGCCGTATCTGTGGATGGTTCGCTGGGTGGTGGAATACATTTGCTTGGATGTGCGGTACTGGTTAGCTTATCAGATCCCATGATGTTGGGATAGGGCTAATCTATCTAAGCCACCATGGCGAGTATCAGCGGCCAGATCGTGATTGCGATGTACGGTCTCTATCATCCCGAGTAAGTTGGTCGGAGCATAGCCAATTCTTGCTGTTTGACTGTGGATCCTGCTCCCGAGGCTTCTCTCGAGACACCAAAAGCGAATATTTGCTGACTTGCCACTTGAGATATGTGATGGAGAGATGGCACGTATTCATTGCCTATCTGATTATCACCTGGTCAGTCCGTCTTGCTATTCACTTCGGCAAGCGAGGATATTTCACCCTGGCAGACTTATCCTCGCTCCCAATCGACAAGTAGTACGCTGACATGCTGGATAGGTCCTGCTGCTCCGTTGTGCTCTTCGCCAACAAAGCGCTTCCAATGATCAACCAGATCGGCCTGTTCTTCATTCTTGCGGGCGTGATCATTACGATCATAGTCTGTGCTGTCTTGCCGGCCAGTGCTGGAACCGGGTGAGTGGTATTTCGGACTCCTTTGTCTAGATGAGCAGTCTTGTCGGTTGGCCAATCTCTGACTCTCATCGTAGACATGCATCCTCATCCTTCGTCTGGGCCGACTGGTCCAACCAGACCGGATACTCTAGCAATGGTTTCGTCTTCTGTCTTGGAATGCTCAATGGCGCCTACGCTGTGGGAACACCTGACTGTGTCTCCCACCTCGCAGAAGAGATCCCAAACCCAAAACGCAATGTCCCGTTCGCAATAGCAGCACAAATGGTAACTGGCTTCGTCACCACCTTCTGCTACGCCATTACCATCTTCTACGCCATTTCAAACCTCGACGACGTCCTCGCAGCGACCTCCTTCCCCCTCGCAATCATTTACCGCCAAGCTACAACCACCAAAGCCGGTACGATGGGACTCCTCTTCCTCATCCTCATCCCTATCATCTGCTGCTGCATTGGAACCTTCATCACAGCCGGCCGCTGTCTCTGGACCATCGCGCGCGATGAGGCAGTTCCCTGCTCAGGCACTTTCAGCAAGATCTCCCCGCGGTTCAAGAACCCTTTCAACGCTACCGTCTTCTGCGCCGTCTTCTGCACCATTCTCGGACTCATCTACGTCGGTTCCTCCACGGCTTTCAACGCCTTCGTCGGATCCTTCGTAGTGTTGACTACGCTGTCATACCTCGCGGCCATCCTCCCATTCATCCTCACCCGCCGCTTCTCTCGCGAGTCCGCTCCGCCGGGTCCATGTATCAGTAACATCTCCCCAGGGCCTTACCAGATGGGCCACTACCTCGGCTACGCCGTCAACACCATCGCGTGCTCGTACATCGCCGTGTTCGTGGTGATATACTGCTTCCCGTTCTCGCTCCCCGTTACCGCGGTCAACATGAACTACGCGTGCGTGATCGCAGGCTCGCTGACGATCTTCGCAGGCGTGTGGTGGCTGGCTCAGGGCAGGGCCTACGTCGGGCCCCGGGCGCTTTTGCACGAGGATAAGGGCATCTCGCTGGTCGTCCTTGGACGAGAACAAGCCGGCTGATCCGATCCGCCGGAGAACCACGTCCGAGACCTCGGCCTCACGGTTCCTGCTGTCGGTGACGCTGGATCGAGAAGAGCTGGCTCAACCTTGTCGCGATTTGTTCGTCTTGTGAATACTAAGCAGGCTGGTAAAAGTAACGTAAAATGTAATATAGCGAGAAACGCGCCCGAAGGAAGAAGAAGAAAAAAACAACCACTTTTATTTTCTGCTAGCTACCCGCTCGATTATGCAATGTATGTGATCCCTCACTCTCTCTCTCTCTCTCTACCACGGAATGACAGCCCCATTATACGATACGAACGATCCCGAAGTCGTCTTCTTCGTAGCCTTGTCAATCTAGCACCCAAGTCAGCACAAACTCCTCTCTTCTCCTCTCCTCTCCTCTCCTCTCCTCTCCTCTCCATCCCATCCCATCCCATCCCATCCCCCCCCTCCTTCTTCTCCTTCTACCGCATGTAACAAGAGAGAAAGAACAAAACAAAACAAAACATACCTGCTCCATCACCCCCCTAGCACTCTCCTCCACCCCCATCGGCGGCTCCAGCACGCCCACACTATCGGCAAACACCTGCCCACTCCCCGTCTTGACCCAGCCCGGGTGAACCGCCAGCGTCACAACAGCGTCCTCCTCAAAATGGACCTTGCGGATAAAGTAGTTCGCCGCCGCCTTGCTGATCCCGTACGCTAGACTCGGGGCCGCGCCCCTGTCCTCCTGCTCCTCCATCGATCCGATGCTGCCCAGCGAGCTGCTGATCAGCACGAACTTCTTTTCGTGGGGTCCTGCTGCTGCCGTTGCCGTTGCTGCCGTTGCCCCTCGGCCATGATCGGTGTTCGAATCGGTATCCGCATCGGTATCCGCATCGGTATCCGCATCGGTATCCGCATCAGTATCCGCATCGGTGTTCGCGCCCGTCAGCATACCATACAGCGTCTGGAACAGCAGGATAGGGCCGAGCGTGTTCACGTCAAAATGCACGCGCAGCTCCGCGGCGCGGGTGCTCAAGGCGGAGGCGAAGTCCAGGGCGACGCCCGCGTTGGCGATGACGACGTCGACGCTCGTGACGCCCACGACGGTCAGCTCCACGAGGAACTGCGCGAGGGAGCCCGGCGCCGTGGAGGTGAAGTCGAGCGCCTGGATGACGAGGCGGCTGCTCGCCGCGGTGGGGAGCGCGCGCAGGGCGGAGGCGGAGGTGTTGGGCTTGCGGACGGTGCCGATGACAAGGGTGTTGGGTCGGAGGAGGAGGATTCGCGTTAGTGCGAGGCCGATTCCTAGAGGTTTCGGGGGGGAGGTGGTAAGTCTGCGTTCTGGAATTGGGGTTCTGGTGGGGGTTCGGGGGGAGGGAAGGGGGGAGTTTTTGGAAATGAGGTGGGAAACAGAAAGGGGCCCATAATGACAAGCGAATGTAAACAAACAAACGATGCGTCGAAATGGGGGTTTGGGCGCCTATACCTCTGTTTGCGCCAGTGATCAGGTACGTGATATCTCCCGACATCCCGCTCCGTTTCCTCGCAGGTGAGAGAGTCAAGGGCGTTGGTGCTAGAGCGTTGACGAAGTGAAATGGTTCCCAGGAGAGGAAAAGTTTCGTGGTGGGGTGCGCGCGCGCGCGAGAGACAGAGAGAGAGAGGATGCCTCAGGGAAGAAAAAATTAGTGCAGGCTCCTGGGTGTTTTTGTTTTGCGTACCGAGAATGTTTCCGCTTGTTGCTAAGTGTTGGCAGGTTCTTGTATTAGCCGCTGTGGCATGCGTGGGCTTCGGGGGGTTGGATGTTTGTATGCTATGCGGTTGTGGAATCAGGGGCGGTGAGGGAGGAGGGAGAGGGAGAGGGAGAAGAGGGAGAGGGAGAAAAGATTCACCTTTTTAGGAAAGTGGTCAGCTGATCGGCCTCAGTCGCTCAACCCATTCCACTCTTCTGACCCAGCTGCGTAGCTTCACACGTAGTGTCAGGTGGGTGAACGGGCAGCGAAATCTGCACCCTGAGGTGAATGGAGAGAGACGTGGAAGCGTGAAGGATTGCCCGGCGGGCAGAAAAATGGTTTGGTTACAGAGCTAACATGGATGGCTCCCCCCGTCCCAAAACAAGACCCGAGGACTCTCTAGGTAGATAGCGTAATAGTTACATGTTGAAAATCCAGCTTTCAATAGTTGGAAGCACGTCGTCAGCCTTTCCATTCTGCGGCTCAGAAAATATGCCGACTCGTTTTTTTTCAGCCCCGGTACTTCGTCTCTGCTGTACTCTTTCTGATGATCCTCCTCTACACCCATGCTGATAATTGGGTTGCTTCATACATCCCTGGAGGAGGATACGGCGGTCTGCTTACTTGCTTGCTTGCTTGCAAGGACAACTCATCTCGATGTAATATATTTACGAGCCACGGCTGCTAGTACTGTATCCAGTCTTTCGGCCTTGGACGACTGAGAATGATGGGTATTCAAAGCCGCGAGGTCTACTTAGGGCTGGTTCGTAAGCCCGCCGATGTACCTTCCAGCGAACCGGTAGCCTGGTACGGTCTCAGGATGACGAGAGGAAATGATAGCTTCGTTCAAAAGACAGCGGTCAGAGTTAGTCGATGGCTAGACTCACAGAACCCACCCGAAGAAGAGACCTCACGTCTTCCCGTATTATTCCAGTGTATCTGTCACCGCCCTTGAGAATGATGTTAGATCATTCCTGCCTGGGTAGCTGCTTGGATCCGGGTACGGGGATATGTATTTACCGTTGAATTTTACTTGAAAGCACTTCGTTTTTAAAGCCCAAGCCACGGTGACGCAGAACGACGTTCTGTACTCTCTCGATTCTCTCTCCAATGTACAGTACAGAAATACAACAACAATCTCCACCGCCCATTCTTTGATCAGCAAGAGCGAAAACCATGTCCCTGGCATCGACGCGCACTCCTCCTTTCCTTCCTCCACAATTTCCTCGATCTCCTTGACTTCAACAGAATATGTAGCGGCCGGCCGCTGGGCCTCCTGAGTTCTGGATATGTCTGAGCAACACAGGAGGTCAGCAATAGTCCAGTCTCTATAAATCTGTGCATGACCAGGAGTAGAATACGTACTAGCCGTCGCGGATGGGACGGGTCGTGGGGTAGCGACTAGATAAGGCGGTGGTGCACTCTCGGATCGAAATCTCTGCTTGTTTGCAGTCCATAACGGCATTCCAGGAGGAGTGGGCTCAATCTCCCTATTCTTTCCAGTCGTGAGTCTGTCTGACCATGCTCTGGTTTTCGAACCAGTCTTCCGGGTCGTCCATTTCGGCCTTTATCTCCTCGTTGACCAATACAAAAGTTCTCTCGTCTTTGTAAAGTCCAGTTTCAACGATCCGCTCTGCGCCCTCGGTCGTCTAAAAGCTCTGCATAAACTTCCACTCTGACATGTAAGCCGTCTTGAAACGGCCATCTATAGAGCCGGGAGGTCTAGGAAGCCCTCGACGCCGAGGAGTTTCTGCCCAGCGTGGGCCCGGCAGTCAATATTTAAGGATGGATCGGATCGTGCGAGAGCGTTTGTTGTAGTACCACATTCCCTCTCCGGTGAAGAGGAGACTCTTAGCTGGTTCGAAAGTCAGATTGCGCCGAGACATATAGCTCGACGCATTCCTTCCTCTCACCCAGATAGTCGTAAGTCATGAAACCCTCTGGTAGCCTTCCCTGGTGGAGTAGTATCACCATTGGACTGTCCTCTGGAAGGAGAGTCCAGTCGAAGTCTCCGAACATGGCTCTGAAGCCCTTGCTGACGGGTATCGGGATCTAGCTCGAGCCGGAGCCGGACCCAGAGTCGGACTCGGGCTCACGAGATCCTGCTCAACAGACGTTTATCGGGCTTTCCATGGTTGTAGTGAGGTGACATGATGTTCTGAGGACTGGAGGAGATCAGGGCTCGGAGGATTTGAGGGGGTAGAGTGACAAGTCGTTAGTTAACCCCAGGTCGCCGCCTTCCATTCCTAGTTTAAGCGAAGTAAGGATATATATAGGGAAAGGGGGCGCTATTAAGTACTAATAAAAAGAAAGAGAGAAAGAAGGCTATTCGCCCACTAATATTAGCCTTCGGAGATGGTATATCAAAGTTTTAAGACGGTCTTGGAACGGCTCGGAGACGGTCTCTAAACGGTCGAGAAAATCCTCAAGACGGTCTCTGGCAAAAAAAGAGGGACTTAAACAAACAACGATCTATAGGAATAATCGCTTTCTCGTTAGCTACGAGAAGGTATGATGAGGCTAGCAGCTTCTCTAGGACGTGAAAGAAGAGTAGCCAAAAAGAAAGACAGATAGATGATATACGGAGATGCGAAAGGGTACGGTAAAGTATATCACCGCCTCCACCTCTGCTCTGCATACTGTAGCAGAATCGACAGCAGGATACTCACCACCCAAAACCAGCCCCGGCCGACCCGATCGCTGGCGCAGGCGGTAAGATAACTGGGCCTCTCCACCGCTGCAGATCTCGTCGCGAGAGAGGATCTCGTTTTTACATGTACGAAGCCAAGGCAGAGAGGGCTCAGACATCACGACGTGAGACACCACGAAAAGATCGCTTCCTTATTGTCTTTCGCGGTCCTTCAATACCGAAAGGAAGATTAGCTAAGAAGTCCTAGGACCGCGCAACTAAATAGTTGGTTTTGCCTCTTTCTATCGGTTCCCTATCATCGATCTCGTTCGCCTGACGGAGTGGACATGTCTCGCTTAGCGAAACATGCTTTTGAGAAAGCCCCAACTTTCTTGCCAAGGCTGTGTGTTATATGGCGAGAGCGTCACTCGCAGCTGTGCAGCTTAGCTTACTATCGTACTCTTTCCCACGATACGTCTTTGCGGTAACTGCATAGCTATCTATCTAGCTCCCCTCATCACCCCCTAGAACGCCCATCGAGCTACCTTCTCCTCCTCCTTCGTCCTTCTCCAATCTTATCCAAAGTAAATCATTGACTCACCATCAGCAACTGCCATACAGCTCCTCATTAAGAAAAAAGAAAACTACTACAGATTAGCTCTTGTCGTCTACATCCCCCATCCCAGCGGTATATATATTTCTCATGTCTTGAGTTTGCCAGTAAGCAAACGCATAATAACATTATGTTTACTTGCTTTTTCATCTCGGTTGTAGGTCGCTGTAAGGTAGGTAGGTTGGTAGGCTGTGTTGATTGATTGCCCCTCCTTCTAGAGCGAACGAATGATGCAAGTAAGGCTGGCATTTTCCGCCATCAATGCTTGGTTGGTTGGCTACCTTACCTAGGTAGGTACCGTGGGAATATTTGGACTCATCTTTGTACCACTAGGCCATGCATGACGAGAATAAAAATAGATCAAAAAAAATTGGAATGAGCTGCTTGGAACTGAGAATGCAAAGAACGAAATGAAACTCTTCCGTTTCAAAACCATGCTGAATCAAAGCCCAATGCATGAAGACGCTTTAACTTGAGCAGTTCGATAGAATCAACGAGCAAAGCTCAACAGCTGTGATCAGTAGGTCGGCAGATTCTAGCGGCGGCATGAGATTCATTGGGACATGTGAATCTGTCTGTCTGCCTGCCCGTCAACCAGTTCCTTCTTCCAAGAATGCAGACCGCGAATTTCTATTTTTCATCACCAAAGCATAGCCTGTTCCATGTACCGCTCCTGGTAACCAGGCCAACCCTCGAGATCATCAAGACGGTAGTTGTTCATCTACTTCTTGTAGACATTGCCGTTGGGAGCCGTGTAAGTCGCAGAACCCTTGCCATCGTTGTAGTAAGTGGAGGAGTTGCCGTTTTGGTAGTAGTAGGAACCATCTAGTTAGGATTAGAATGAGAATCAGTCAAAGAAGCCTTGCAAGAGGGGCTCGTACCGCTGTTCGAGTAGTGGTATGCCGATCCACCAGGTTGAGTGCGGGTGTCGTAGTTATTGCCCTATGAGAAGATAAGTTGTTGGTGTTCCTCGCAACGCGATATGGGGGGGGGGGGGGGGGCGCATGGAAAGAAGCCTCACCTGACTGTTGGTACCGCTGCCCGTGATAGTGTAAGGGGTGTATGAGTTACCGTACGAGCCGGACGAGCCGGAAGATCCAGATTGACCCTTTCCAGACATGCTGTTGAAGTGCTGTTGTCACGGCGTGAAAATAGTGTAGGAATTGTGGTTGTGACGGGGGGCAGTTGATTTGAAGAAGAAACCCGGCGTAGACAGTGTGTATAAGAAGGAAGAAGGAGGGCAGGATTTCCTGGAGGCAGCAGACCCTTCATATACCGACGAAGTTCCTCGCTTAACTACCTATTCACTCCCAGTGTTTGCTGTCGGGTGAATTCGCGGTCCGGCAGGCCCAAAGCGCGTACCAAGTCGCGTGGGGGTTGCGACCCGTCACTTACTGGCATGATACCTGCTCTTTTCCTCTTTTCCTTCCGTTGATTGGCCTGCAGCTGGCCGGAGGAGCTCACCGCTCGAATACCAAAGTCTTGAAATGTCCAAGTAAACGCCCATCGTTACGCCGAGCTGACACGATGTCACGTTTCCCCGACGTAGGATGGGTCTAACCCTTCATGATGGTCCACTTTAGACACTTTAGACACCTTCGGTAATCTCCTCGGGGTTGGCAGAACTCAAAATCGTCTTCAGTTGCAGTCCGCAGACTCATACCTTGTTGAATGATATACCGTAATCGTCGGCTCGCTTAGGTGGGCCTCCTTTTATCCTTTCAGTCTTAGTCGGCATAACCGATTGCGGATCGGAAGCGAATGCGGATTTTTTCGAATATATTAGAAATTAAGAAATATTTATATAAATAATTAATCGTTTGTTATACCGTCTTTCGAAACATTTAAAATCGTATCATCCGATAAAACATTTAACTATCGATTATTATTTTCATTAGAATTTGATTCGTCTCTTACTTTACGCAACGAATCGTTTGAATCTCTATTACTATTAGAATTGAAGCTATCGCTATCGATATTAATACTAAGAAAAAGCATAATATTTTGCTTTAAAAAAAGGTCTCTAATAATATCGGTTGTAATCATTAGATCATTATCACCGAGAAAAGGTTTAAGTTGAGAAAGAGTTGGTCGAGGAATACCTTTTTTACAAGGCCGTAAAATTTAACGTTCAAAAAGTTATTGCATCCACTAAATCTCTTCCGAATCGAGAATTAAAATAAGTATTGAATCGTCGTTTTTAACAATTAAGCTTGCAGCGTTTTCGTATAATCTTTTTACGCTCGCGCTTAGCTTTGCGTAAATCGATTCCTTTACGATATTCAGCATCTTTATTTTAAATTTTATCGGTAATTTATTATTATTTTGCACCAGATTCAATTTTTTTTTTTTAGCTTGCTGCTCAATAGCAAGCTTTTCATCGATTTAAAACATCAAACTATCGATATATAAATACGTTTTCGGCTTACACTTAATAAAATACAATTGAATTATACGATTATAAATTAAAAAGTAATGTTATAAGTTATATTTTGTATATAATAACTAGCAATAAAAGAAAAATCCGCATTCGCTTCCGATCCGCAATCGCTTATGCCGACTAAGACTGAAAGGATAAAAGGAGGCCCACCTAAGCGAGCCGACGATTAGATATAGAGAGCTTTTGCGACTGCAGAGGTGGACAGAAAAGCTCACAACGATGCCTTTCCCAGCTTCCTTCTTCCACCAAGCGTGCGAACGAAAATCCGATTATCAAACGGACAGAGAGAGAGGTTTGTGAAGCGACTGCCTCTTCTCTATATATGTTGTTATAGCTGCCGGCCTTAGGATGTCTGTCGTGCTTCAAATGGCGCCTGAAGACTCCAGCCACACGTGGGCTGGGATATAGATGGGATCACTCATGCCACAGGTGGTAGAGTCTGAGTAGCTGCTATCAGCAGGTGAGGCTCCGATGTGTAAACCTTCCATGTTTGGGCAACATATTGAAACTGAACTAGGTAGCCTGCTCTACTCATTCTTGTTGGGCCTTCTGATAAGGAGCGGTAATGTATATATATATATAATCAAATATTGAATCGGGCGACGATGCTTCCATACGAGAGTGATCCTCGGGCAGAGGCCGAGACCGAGATAGAGAGTCACGAGGTTGAGGGTGCAGATGAGGGTGCAGGTGAAGGTGCAAGTGAAGGTGAATTCACGTTGTGTCGCTCCTGCCGATTCTCGTTGTTTCGATTTGTCCTTTCCCGATTTGGCCAGTCCACCTTGAAATGGCATCGAGCCTTCCCACCTTCGCACCATCTCTACTTTTCCTTTCGACCTTCCCACTTTCACACCTTTACACCTTTATACCTTCACACCTTCATACCTTCACACCTTCACACCTTCACACCTTCCTACCCTCCCGACCTGCTCACTTTCTACTTCCCGATCCCTTCAAGTTCACTTTCTCGTTCACGTCCGCGTCTTCTGAACCCTCAACAACATACTACAACACATCCAGGCTTTTGGAAAGAAGTCGTTACCCGACTACTTCTACTTCTACTTCCCCTTCCACTTCCCCTTCCCCTTCCCCTTCCCCTTCCCCTTCCCCTTCCCCCATTCATGTGATCGGGAAGCCACGCCACCCCACGCCAGGAAGTTCGAGAGAGAAGAAGCAACCGCAGCATCATGGCCACGACCATGTTCAGGTTCGAATACCAACTCGCCCAATACCTCCAACTCATCGAACTCGTCAGTCGATGCGTCTGTTTCTTTCTCGCCCTCGTTACCTTGATCCTAGCCATCATCATGTCGATCTACGCTGTCAAGTATGATCTTGAGGGAGATCCCGAAGCAAGTGGTAGCATGTTTCCTCCGCTCTTCACTTTCATCTTCGTATGTATCCATCCATCTACATCTACTTTGACCTCGACCTCGACCTCTACCTACCCGCCCCAGCAATGCTTGATTTATTATCATTGAGATGCGGTCCTTCTGATGATTTTCAGGTCTGCGTCTCTCTACTACTCAACTCCGAGCAAATCATGTCGCGCGCCGCCTGCTACAGTACCTCTCGCCTCAAGAGGCTGCATCCTGTCTTCGTCGTAGCCATTGACCTCATGTGCGCGCTGGGCCTGCTCTTCTCCGCCTACATTGTCATTCCGCCTGTTGATTTCATGCGTTTTCCGCTGATCGGTGCTACAATTTGGGTCTCTACGGCTCTTGCGTAAGTCGTGCCTCCTTGATTGCTGGAGAGTGCTGACACGGAAGCAGAGCTACGCATTTGTTCGCGTCGGTCTTTGCTTGCATCGAATGCGACAAGAAGAGGTTGGCCTACAGAGAGCAGAGACGACAAGAGTTCCTCAGGGTAGGTAGATTGAGGGCATTGAGGTCGGCCCGTATGCGAACCGATCTGCAAAACGAGCTCGCGGCCCGTATACAACACGAGCTCCAGGTGCAGGACGATCTTTCACACTGATAAGATGGGGCGGAGTGGATGGAAAATTTACGTTCGTGTATTGTATGTTGCACCGAATGGTATTCTCGAAGATAGAAGTTTTGCACATCGAATTCTCTACCAATCGAACATTTGACGGTATCCAGAAGTAAATTCTTTGTCACTTTTGAATTTTATCTAGCATAGCATTGTTTATGCTAGCCTAGTATAAAACATTATTGTAGGGAAATAACTACGTACCTATAGACGGAACAGAGAGTACTAGGTATCCTGAGGGAAGAAAAATAACACCGGAGATATCGATTGCACAAATCCGGGGGGATCGATACAAAGGGGTCCGTATAGAAGCCCCATGAGCAAGCCAAAAAGCAAAAATGAGGTGGGTAAAGTACCTAGTCACGAGGCATCGTGGCTAGTTGGCGCTAAGTAAGCAAGAAGTGGGGTGTCCGCCTTCAGTACTTACACGCTCTTACACTCCGTATACATTCGCACGCCCGCATACTTATCACGTCCAGTCAAAAATTAATATCTTCAATTCTTGTCGTCAGACAGCAGGACTGTTTCTTGTGACACGACCTAAGAGCAATTAAAGGTCGTCCCAACGCCTGCCTACCACGCGTGGCTCATTCAGGCGCGCCCAGAATATCTCCAGCCACCGGCTTTGACCGCATCGCATTATTCTACACGTCCTCCGCATACAGACGAAACCGACACGATACGGACCCGACGCAGATTCTTCTAGACATCGGCTTGGAGACTACGCTTTTCCGATGGAGATTCACCAAGTGGCTCTCGCCGCTCTCGACAAAATACCCCAAGCTATGAAGACAACGAGCACGAGTCATCGCGATATTGGGGCCAGTAGTAGAGTCGCATCAACGAGCGCGACGACGGCTGCCGGCATGCGCTCTTCCGCGGCGAACAAAGAGATTGTTGGCGACGCTGTCAACACCCCTGAAAGATCTCAAGCTCTAGGAGGAAGCGATAGATATATGCGGCTATCCGGGCAAGAAAGAGACGGTCCCAGTGGTGCGCAGCAGGCCCTGAAAGTAACAACATCGGGTGACAATTCCCAATCTACCACCGACGGTCACGAAACCACTTCGACCCCACCAACTTCGGCATCTGATGGCTTCTCTTCGCAGAGCACTAATCCAGACGGGCAGCTATGTCATCTATCACAGCTGTCGCAGCTAGCAGCGACGCAACAACCACTCGGCAATGCATCTTCGACGCGACCGATGCTCTCGATAGCTCAGACAGCAGGCCAGAAGAGGACTGCGGATGGGCAGGTTAAGCCTCTATCTGTATCGCCTGAAATTCCCAAGGCGCGTGGACATTCCAGGAATACTAGCGCTATCAGCAACGCATCTTCTGTTAGCAGGATTGGGGAGGTAAGACACACGCAATGCCCACCGCAACCCATCCACTGACACTCTCAAGCTTTCTTCTGAACTCCGAACGCGTCTCTCATATGCAATGGTCAAAGTCAACAAAGGATGGCAGTCCAATTCAATCGATGAGGTCGAGTCTCTTGCTTCCCAGGCTGGCTCTCCAACGTCATCTACATCTACCTTGCCTAGTCGTCGCGCTTTCATCACCTCCCCTCGTGCTGCGATTGCGACTTTACAGGCTCAGTCGAGCAATTCCAGCAAAATGTCGCAAGACTTCGACCTTTACCCCAGGGGCGAACCACCTTCTTCCCAAACTTACGAATCGTTCTGGCGCAGCCATTCGACACCCAACTATACTGCCCAGCCGCAAATTTCTCGCGCACCTATAATCTCGCCTCCTCCCTCGAAAGCCTTGGGACCCCCCGCCGATATCCGTCCTGCTGTACACTCGCGCCGATCTGGAACACCGAAATACAGTAAACCGCCGAACATGCCAGGTCACGGATCAAATTCTCCCTACAACGGTACTCCTGCTCCCCGGACACCACTTCGTACGGATGGCAGGGATCATACGATCATCCAGACGCCTGTCCAAAAGACCATCCAAGAACAAGCCGCTATCGAGACCTTGATTTTCATGAGCAGCCCAGGGAACTCGGGCAATATGGGCCACACGTTTCCTCCGCCTAGAATCCAAGGATCACCGCAACAAAGCCCCCTCCGGTCCGAGTTCAGTGCACATAATCGCGCTCCGCACGCAAGAAGAGTCGAGTTTGATCCGGCGGTGCCCAATGTGAGCGCAGGTCGCAGTGAAGTTGCAGAGTACAGGAGCAAGATCAGAAGCCAAGGGGTGAGCCAGAGCGAGGCAAAGAGTGAGGAGATGAACCGATTCTTGGACGAGATGCGGGATTCCAGTAGTGATGAAGAGGATATACCCCTCAACTATTCCAGTCCAAGGAGAATTGCTCCAGGAAGAGTCTAGCTTGGTGGACGGCGTTTCTCCAAGTACATACATAGGGACCACACAGGGACGATTACATATACGGGGACGAATTCACGGCATCTACATACGGAGTTGTTGCTTGTATCTCTAGTGTCACGGAGCTTTTGGGCGTCATGGGGACACCCTTCTCGCCCTCGGAGACTTGTGATCAACGATCTCTTTCTCGTCCATCGAGGGCTGAACGTGGACTTTAGGAGTTCTTATGGGATAGGATGGGTTGGCATGGGACGGGACGGGATGGGACGGAATAGGTGCATCTTCTGCTGGTGGTATCGCGTGATACCTGTGGATTTTGGGGATTAATGACTGTATCCTGGATAACATCTAGGCGTTACATTCTCTGGCACACTAGATGCACATGCAGTCTTACAGCACACACATTGACGTTGCTCTTATCTTGCTTCAGCACCGATCTCATCTTGGTAGGAATCTTAGCCAAGGTTACCTATCTTTCCATCCAGCCTCGCGCGAGCAAGTTAAGTAACAAGTCGTTCCTGAAGGGCAATGCCGATCTGATCACGGCTTCTCCCTAGGCCGCGGGCACGACCGACGTCACGCGAAGCAAAACAACGACAAGGTCAAAGGGTCAAAGTTCTTACGAACCGACGATTCGCAATGCGACGGATGGCCACATTCCGAGCTAGTTTCGGAGACATGCTGTGCGCGCTCTACCGCTCTCACTGTTTATGCCAACCCACGTCCAGCCTTAAGCCGTCCCTTCATCGATCGGTACGATGGATGGCCCGTCCGATGTCCTGGTTTGGTTTGGCTGGGATACTCGCTCGTATGGACGTCGCGATTTGATGATGTTCATGATCTGCGCGCGCAATGAGACAATAACTGCTACAGCAAAGAGAGGGATTTGGCAAGAGCAAGCCTTTTTTTTTTTTTTTTTCCCTCCCCCTCCCCTGGGTCGATCATATCAGCTCGGCCAGCCGCCGATCGATCAGTCACGTCTCTACTCAATCAGAGCGGCCTCCTAGTCGACGCCAAAGCTCCCGAACACTTGACACGGATGTTCCGTTCGCCTCTTTTCCAAGGAGAAACGCGTGTTTCAATCCGTCAATATCTCAGACGGACCAGCCAGGGCTCGGACCGAGGCACCAACAATATCATACAAGCTCACAAGCGAGACTTGAGACTTTGAACTTTGGACTTGGCTTTCAGCCTCAGATCTGCATTGCATGTACAGCCACAGCGGCAGCCACAGCTACAGCTACAGCTACAGCTACAGCCACAGATGGGCCCTTGGGTGGACGACGAACTCACTTCCGGCTCCTGGTACTTGTCATCTCAACTCCATCTCGGAATGCCCTGATTCCTTCCTTCATGCCCTCGTGCCCTCATGCCATCACCCAGCCCCAAACATGTCCCCCCTTCGTGCATGTTCCGCGGATACAAACTGACCGGTGGACATGTCGACAATGTCTACAGACAGACAGAGACGAGCTTGTCTGTCGGTCCCTCCCCTCCTACCTTCTTGCCACACCCTATGTCTGAGCTCTGCAACTCACACGTTTTACCCTTTCGAGGCCATCCTATCGAAACCCTTCCAAGACTTAATGCGTAAAACATCTTCTGCATTTCTCCTTCCAGCCGCGTAATCAGGTGTAGGTGCACCTCTTTTCCTATTTCGATTCCTTGTCTTCTTCCTCTATAACTATCATCATCTCTTTGCCCATTCATATTTTTACTCCTGCATCTTTGTTTCTGCATCTCTATTCTCCTCTTGTTTCTTTTCGCCATTTCTGGGGCGGGTATCCATTCTCATATATATTTACATATTAATATTGTGCTGGGCATCTATTTTTCTTTTGTTTTCTTCCTCGCCCAATCTTAACTGCATCTATTCATTCATTCATTCCTTCTTTGAAGCAGACGGAATCTTCGAGCTCGACCCCTAATTTCTTGATTCTACCACCTGGTGTGGATTTTACAAACTCTCACGATGCTTTCCGTAGTAGCACTTCAGACGCTCCTCCTCCTCGGCCTGGTCACACTCGCCCTCGCCGCCCCGTCGCCCATACAGAAGCGCAGCTTCAAGGTCGTTCGTGTACCCAATCCCGTATTTAATGGTCGCAGTCCCGGTGCAGGTACCAGGGCGCTCATCAAGGCGCACAGAAAGTATGGCGTGGCACTTCCTCAGGGCCTGGTCGATGCCATGAACGCCGCCAGCGCTGCGAACGCCCCCGCAACTGCAGATACCCTCACGAACTCGGCTATCGCCCTTGATGCCACCAAGAACAATGCTGCCGCCGCCGCACCAGCAGCCACCAACGCCACCGGCGCAGGAAACGGCCTCGTCACCGCGACCCCCGAGGCGGGTGATGTGGAGTACCTCTCTCCCATCATGGTCGGTGGCCAGACCATGAACATGGATTTCGACACGGGATCTTCTGATCTCTGGATGTTCAACACGCAACTCAATCCTCAGTCCCAGACTGGTCACACCAACTTCGACCCCAGCAAGTCCGCCACCTTCCAGCCGATGGCCGGCGCGTCGTGGCTGATCTCCTACGGTGACGGATCCGGAGCCGCTGGCAATGTCGGAACGGACACGGTCAACATTGGAGGTGCAACCGTCACCAACCAAGCCGTCGAGCTCGCGACCGCCGTCTCTTCCTCGTTCGTCAGGGACATGAACTCCAACGGACTCGTCGGCCTCGCCTACTCCAAGCTGAACACCGTGCAGCCCGCGCCGCAAAAGACCTTCTTCGACAACGCCATGCCCTCCCTCGCCATGCCCGTCTTCACCGCCGATCTCCGCAAGGCCTCCGTCGGATCCTACGAGTTCGGCAACATTGACGAAACCAAGTACAACGGCACCCTCAGCTGGGCCGCCGTCAACACCACCAACGGCTTCTGGCAATTCTCCTCCAGCAAGTTCGCCGTCGGCACCGGTGCCCCCATGGACATGCCCGGCGGACAGGCCATCGCCGACACCGGAACCACCCTCATGCTCGCCAGCGCGCCCATCGTCAACGCCTACTACAGCCAGGTCCCAGGCGCCGCCAACAACCAGACCGTGGGAGGCGTCACGTTCCCCTGCAACACGCAACTGCCCGATCTGATGGTCGACGTCGGAGGAAACTACATGGCCAAGGTCAAGGGAAGCGACATCAACTTTGCCCCTGTTGACGCTGCCGGAACAAGTACGTGTGATTCGAATCCTCCCCACCTCCCCACCTCCCTTCTCCTTTCCCATTCTTGCGGTTTCCCTCATGCTAACCACCCTCTTCCTGCTGCAGCTTGCTTCGGTGGTCTCCAGGGCATCAACAGCGACCTCCAGATCTACGGAGACATCATGTTCAAGTCTCAATTCGTCGCCTTCAACGGAGGCAACAACTCCCTCGGCATGGCCCCTCACCAGTAGAGTGAAGTAGCGTAGCGTAGAGTTAGAGTACAGTACAGTAGAGTAGAGTACAGCACCGCCGCATAATCAATAACAGACCCGGAGTTCCTATTCTCTCTCTCTCTCTCTCTTTTTCCTTTTTTTTCCTTTTTCTTTTTTCCTTTTTTCTTTTTTCCTTTTCTTCTTTCCTTCTTTCTTTTTTCCTTTCCTTCCCTTTCCCTCTGCTCTTTGCGTCGTCATGCTAGCGAGGCGAGGCGAGAGATATATTTGGGGGGCCTGGGGGGGGAGGGGTGGGGGAACGGGGGGGACGTCATCATTGGGGAGGTTGGAGGTGGTAATGTCTACTCTGGGTACGAATCCACGACGGAAGCGTTGCTGCTGCTGTGTTTTTTGCTTGCCCCTGTATAAAATCTCTTTTTTTTTTTTCTCCTTTCTTTCTTTCTTTTCTTTTCCCATCATCATCAGCATCATCATCATCATCATCATCACACCTAGACAGGGGGAAAAAGGAAAAAAAGAAAAAGAAAAAAGAAAAACAGAAAAACAGAAAAACAAAAACACAAAAAAACATACATACATATATACACAGAAAGGCATTGCCTTGAGTGGGATGGATAATGGGGCTCTAATATATTAATCTGTAATCTGACTACATACATAAAATAAGAATACATCGAAATTTTTCAAAAATATTTGGCAGCCTTTTCTTCATCTTTTTTTTTTATCTTTTCTTTTCTTTTCTTTTCTTTTCTTTTCTTCTTTCTTTTCTTTCCTTCTTTTCAGTCAGCCACTCACACGCGTGCGACAATCTCCGCCTCGGGCTGAAACTTGCCACCAAGACCGGCCGCGAGTGATACCGGTACCGTACAGTATCACGTCCTCAGTGAGACGATAATACTGTATCAAGTCATGTCACGACCATTCATTCGATCTACGAATCGTTGCGAACGGGTGAAACAGCGCCCGAGCCCCGGATCCCAAACAAAACAACCAATACAACGATGATGATGATGATAATGATGATGATGATGATGATGATTCCAAAACAGAAACAGAGGCAGGCAAGTGCTTTCTTTCTTTCCCTCAAAAAAAAGAAAAGAAAAGGGGGGGGGGCCTGCTTCAGCCCCTCGATCCAATCCAATCCGTACAAGAAACACGAAGCAATCACTTCAAACACACCTCATCCATCTTTCTACCCTCGCCGGGACAGTAATAATAATTTATGAACAAACACAGGCGCAAAGCGCAAAGATGGTGCTTTCCTTTCCTTTTCCTTTTCCTCAAATAAAGCAGAAGAAATAGTAAAGAAAGAAAGGGCTGAAGAGAGACAGCCCACCAGCACCAACGCCCAATGATCCCTCTCTCCGGCTGTAATCCAAACACGACCATGAAAAATGAGAATGGAAAGGAAAAGGGATGCTCTGCTGGTAGGTACAGTTCGTAGCCGACCGAAATACCCCCCCATAAAAGTACCTACCCCATCACCCGAGCTAGTTAGTACATAAGTTACTCATTCCGCAGCGGGCGCGCGATCGGGGATTCTTTTTCTCCCTGTCGCCGGTTCCAGTCTGGCGTCGTCTCTTCGCATTCGGACCCTCCTCCAGCCCCAGCACCAGCCCATGCCCAAGCCCATGCCCAAGCCCAAGCCCAAGCCCAAGACCGGCCGGGCTCTCGGTAGCAGCCTTTCTCTTCGCCGTACGCCGAGCCACGGGCAACGCTGCGCCCCGGAAATCCCGCAGCTTTGGCATGTCGTACGGGATGTCATCCTCGGTATCGTCGTCGTCGTCTGAGTCGGCCTCCATGCCTCTCAGCAACTCATCAATGTTCATTGCCGCGTAGTTACCAGGTGAGCCGGTCCGTTCCTGACCGCGTGAGGGCGAGGCAACGGAGCTGTGGGCTTTGCGTGGGGACGGGGGATATTCTCTTCTGCTTCGCCTTTTGCTGCTCATCCGACCCTCGTGGTGGGGGGGATCCGTATCGAGATCTACTTGATGGGGGGAGTCAGCAACTCTCTCACCATGGGCATGGTTTCGGTAGAGCGCAAAGGTCGGATGTCCCCTGAAATTCCAAATAGGGACGGACGGCCAAAGAAGGAAAAAGGGGGTTTCGTCGATACGTACCGTGGTCGAGGTAGTTGTAGTCCAAGTCGTAGATCGGCTCCTCCCGCTCTACGTTGGACCGTCCCCCATCGTCCTCGGTCCAGTAATCCTTCCAGGTGATATCAAGTCCACGGGAAGGGTCGTGGGGTAGCTTCAAGGGGCTGCCTAAATAGCATGACAGTCAGCAAGAGCCTCAAGAATTATGTCCGTCTCGAGATAAGACATATCACCAGAAACCGCAGGATAATCAAAGTGAGCCCCTCCGATACGTACGGTTAATAGTCTGGTGGTCTTTCAACTCGACCGCTTTGCCCTTGCCCTTGACGTCTCTATTCTCAATGGCGTCCCTCTTCTCAATACCCATCAACGCGTAGTCCATCTCCCGGTGTTTGACAAGCCTGGCTGCATCATTCTCGCCACTGATCATGCTGTTTCTGCCGACACCAACCAAATCGGCACTTTGTGGACATTGAGACACAATGGTATCCTTCGCCTTGGCGCGGACGTTTCCAGAGCGTACAGACAGGCCGGCCTGCTTCATTGGAATCAGATATTCCAGCTGGCTTTGACCAGAGACGGAAGGAAGATCAGATGACAAGTAAGGCCAATCCGCGAAGACGGTCTACTCAGCAGATTAGCTCGTTCGTTCGTCCGCTATCTTTTTTGCACATCACACCCCGGGAAAATCGTAGGACTGTCTTGTCTGTCTTGTCTGTCCCACACTCTTTCTGATCTCTGGTTGAAATTTGGCTACAAGTACTTGCAGGATTTGGGATCGGCAGCTGGGCAGGGGGGGGGGGGGGGGGCAGGGGAAATACTGACCTCGTCACAGGAGTAGATTGAAGACGGAGATGCCGGGCGCGAAGATGCAAAGTCAGTGCCGTAAGCTGGGTGATAGATGGGATGCGAGCTTGTCAATCCGGCCAAAGAGGACTGGCCGTTGTTGTACGATGCAGGGCGCAGCAGTAGTCCGTATTCCCGGTCCGGGCTATCGAACTGATTCATATTGATAATGCGTATCAATGTTGAAGAGATGTGATACCCTTGTGTTTGATATTCGTGGATGAGAATAGAATGAGGGCGGGGGGGGGGGGGTTGTTAATATGGTAGCTAGCGGTGAATGTTGTTGTGCTTGTAACTGGGAAGCCGTGGTGAGAAAATGAAAGATCGGCTGCGGATATGGAGAGGAAGGAAGGAGCTGCTGAGATATTGACACAAAGATTAGCCAGCTCTTGGCTTGGGAAGGTGCTACGTAACTACTTTGTTAAGGACTCGGCTGCCATATTGGTTGACGGTACTTCCAATTTGGTCAGCCATATGGTGGGGCCTGTCTGGTTTGTTTACAATCAGAAGCTTAAGCGAAACCTTGTGCGGATGGGCAGAGGAAGGACCAGGCAGATAATTATTTCAGGTCATGGAGAACTATTGCCGCACAGATTTTGTCTCTAGACGTATTTTGGATTATAAAGCGACAGAAACTGAACTACTCATCGAATAGAATATTTATACGAGACTACAGAATATCAAGGGTGGTAGAAGGGGCTAGCGAGACGTATCTCTCTAAATGCCAAGCCCGAGTACGATATATATCCTATTGCTTTTTAGGATGAGTTCGTCTAGAGTATTTATAACCGCTTCTTAAAAGCTGCGCATAGGGAACCTGAACTCCTATTTAAACTTTCTTATTCACCCACTTGGCAAGTTTCCTACAACATCAATCTGGGGTTCTCGTTCTCCTAAGCAAGCTTCGAAACACACCCTCACCACTCGAACGAGACTACTTGACAAAAAATAGCTCCGCTTCCTCTACACCTTATTCCAAGGCCAACCCACCCCCGAGATCCAATCATGGCAGGCAGCGCCCCGAAATGGACGGAGGAGCAGATCGCTTTCATTATGGCGCAGAGCATTGCGGGAACCAAGAACTCAGAGATCGAGAACAAGGTGAAAGAGAGATGGGCAGAGAGAGCAGTAGGAAAAGGGGCAATCGCGGGCTTGATCAGGCGTCAAAACAAACCCAAAGCCAATACCGGACGCTCTCGAGAGAGCTCAGTCGCTGCCTCGTTGCGATCTGAAGCCCGGGAGTCCACCAAGGCTACCAAGCCGCAGCCACAAGATATCTCACCTTCACTTCCAGAGGCACCGCAAGTTCAGGATCCGGCTCCAGCCAGCACATCCCCGGCCACCGCGCGATTCTCGAACTCGAACTCTGGAACCTCACCAGAAGTTTTTAAGGCACATGATACTCCAGAGACTCCTGATGCCTCGCCCCAGCTCCCTCCCAAATCACACCCACGATCTCCCCCAATTCCTGGACTTGACAATCGTCAAATTGAAGTCAATAGCAGCCCAGTATCTAGCCTGCCTTCTTCCCCGGTTGTCCAAAGAACTACGAGTCCAGCTCCTGAGGCCGAAAGATACGGAGCCGAGAACCGAGCGAGCAGTACTTCCCCATCGTTACCTCCTCTGTCTTTCACAATCCCCTCAATTTCAGTCACAGGTGCTGCCACAAGAGAGCTTATCGACGAGGAAGCCGAAGCCGACATCAAGGAGATTTCTTTAGCAGCACCACCTCACGAAGTCCCTGAATCAGCCCAGCCGCCATACGATTCCCTGGTCCCAGGATCGGTGAATCCAAGCCTGTCACGCGAAGTTGGTTCCCAAGCCACCGTACCAAATTCACCTGTCAGCGCGAACGAGCCAAAAAAGGAGCCAAGCTCTAGCGCCGAGAAAGCTGCCCCCACCATCGTCGAAGAAACCTCACCAGCACCACTCCTTGCTTCTCTCGAGGAGACAGACCGAGAGATTGCTGACTCCTTCATCGAAGACTCATCGGTCAACATACAAGCAGAGCTTCCAGAGCCAGAGCAGCCTGCTGAAGAAGAGCGAGCAGCAAAGAGAGTCAAGACCAGCCACGAGCCGAGCGAGTTCGAGATTGACATCGAAGCAGAGATCGAACAGCCCGAGTCTACCGACAAGATGGAAGTTGAGACCAAGATGACCCAAGCTTCAGACCTCTCTCCTCAAGCCACTGCCTCCACCACCGTCCCTGACCTCCGCACCACCACCAAAAACAACGAAACGACCCGATCCCCATTCCCGTTCTCACCCCCAAAGATGATTGTTCCGCAGGCAACCCCCATCATGCCAGTGGTGGGCGGCACCCTCTTCGAGTAAGCCACCCACCACCTCTTCTTGACAATCAACAAGCTAACAAAGCAACAACAGCTCCCTCGGCTCGGAGATCGTCCACTTCATCGTGGGCCCCAAGCGAAAAGACTGCCCAATCCACACCAACCTCCTCACCCAAGCCTCCCCTTCCTTCAGCCAGCTCCTGGAACTCCAGACTCCGGTCCCAGGCCGCGCCGAGTACGCTCTTCCAGACTCCGACTCTGACGCCGTCGCCTTCGTCTTCAACTACCTCTACCGCCAAGCCGTCGACCTCTTCCCCGGCATCAACGCCCCCGGCACTCTCGAGCAGCGAGGATCCGACGACGACGACCACCACCACCACGGCTACGACGGCTACGCCGAGTTCACCACCGCCGTGGCAAGAGCGATCGAAGTTTACATCCTCGCTGACACGCTCAGAATGGTGCACCTCGCCGATACGGTGATTACCGCCTTGGGAGAGGCCTACCGCCAAGGCAAGACCTACCCAGCCGCCGCCGACATCGCCCTGGTCTACGCTCGCTCCCCCGCCGGATCCCGCCTCCGCAAGTTCATGGCCCGCTGCTACCAGGTGCTCGCCGATTTCGAAGACGCCGATATCGAGACCGCTGGCTGGTCGCCCACCGAAGTCCACCGACTGATTTCCGAGGTCCCGGAGCTGTTTGTCGGTAAGCATGAGCGACCCATAGTCGATAGAAACAACCCCCCTCCCCCCTCCCCCCTCCCACCTTTTTCTTTCCCTTTCCTAGTGTCCCAGGTGTATTTTTACTCCTTGATATATCCCCAACACATCCAACAGCGAACGATGGCTAACCTCGCGACCACCAGACTGGAGAGCTTTGAACCGCAAGAGCAAGGCCTTGGAGTCGACGGAGCTGAGCGCCGATTTGGTGTGTGCGTATCATCTTCACGGACCGGATGCGGAGTGCGAGTTCAAGGGCTTGGTTTTTAACGGTATGTTGGAGTCCAGATGATGACTGGGATGGTGACTGATGCTGCGCGTTAGACATGGGGCGATAAGCATGGCCATTCCCGCATCTTCTGCTAAGCTTGATCATGGCGTTCAGGGTGACTGGATGGATGGATATGCTTCGCAGGATAGAGCGGCATTGTGTCTCTCGCGAAGCCCCGGACACTATTCGGTTCTTCGGATATGGACAGACTGGTAGTTTACTTCTTTTCAATCTCCTGCAGCTTCTTGCTTCGGAGAAATGAGTCTCGGATCAGTCGCTTGACTGAGCATAAGATCGCGGCAGAAAGTATAGAATTTCAAAATAATGCACATATTTCCCCTTCTTAACTCTTCAAATTCAGCTGTCCACTTCGACCATGAATCAACATTAGCGAGAAACGGCATGGAGTCAGTAAGTGTCGGAAACTTCCAATGCTGAGTTTGATTTTCTTATTACGCAGTAGAGTCCCCGTCTACAGGGCACATCTCAAAAGACACCAATCATCCGCCCGGCTCATCAAACCGCTCTTATTAAAATAGAGCCGTGCGGGTAAGCAGGAGCTGAGAGTATCGTATCGTACGCAAAACATGAACAAGAACCACCAAAACAGATGCGCCAAAGAAAGCCGGGTATTTCATCTCCAAATCTACTTCTTCGGAGGGTACTTGTTCTTGAAGAGGTATCTATGACAGGTCAGATGCCCTTCTCTCAAAACTCATACTTATGATCCAAAGTGAGGAGGGAATCTGTGCAGACTTACTGGCTCAAGAAGTAGTCCCCAGTAGCAAACAAACCAACAACACCAGCCCAGGCACCAGCCACCTTCCACGTCAACTCTCCAGCAGCATACTTTCTGTACGCACCAAAGCCCAACCCAGCGCTCAAAGCAACAACTGCAACAGCATTTCCAATGTAAACCGGGTTGTCCCTATTGGCCTCCAAGTTGCTTCGGGCCTTCTTCGCCTTAGCCTTGGCCTCCTTCTCTGCCTTCTCAGCCTTTGCCTTGGAAGCTGCGTAAGCCTCCTTCGCGCGTGCCTCGATGACCTCGGCTTCGTGCTCGATGCGGTCTCGTTGGGTCTCTGTTTTAATTGTCTGCGAGGCGAAGTCTGATGGGACTGTGTGTACGGACTCGGTGTCTACATCGATGAGGGAGACTTCAACTGGAGAATCAGTGTGCTCGAGCTCAGGAATGGCGGGGGCACGCTTCTATCGTTGGATATTAACATTTGTCTTAAGGTGTTTCATGTGGCCGTATCTGCCGATATTATCGGGTCTCTTGATGTCGGGGTATAATGAGTTGCGCCCTTAGTCCATGCAAAGGAAGTTATCCAGCTTTATTGCATCTGCTCTTCTCGGCGATGCGACGTCGATAAGATCAGACACGGCCCTGGCAGATTATGCATGGCTACTCAATTGACAAGTGAACTGAACGTACCTCCTCTGCCGTTTGTGAGGGGCCACTGGCTGCTGCGGCTGCGTAGCTCATGATTACTATGTTGTCTAGGTATTGCGAGCAGAGGTCAGCAAAACAAGTGATTGCATTCGCGAGTTGAAGCTTACAGTAAGGAGAAGGCTTTGAAGAAAGTAGGGGATGAGGTTGTTGATGAAAGAAAGTGATCTGGTGAGGTTGAACGGGAGGAGTGGGTTGAGACCCAAGAGAACGAATCCTGCAAGTTCTTGTGGCTGGAGACTGAGAGACTTGCACCAGAACGGAAAGCTGGGCGCCTGACGTAGGCGGCTCCCAGAATAGTGGATCTACATCTGTGCTCAAGTGTCAAAAAAAAAGTATATTTATATTTGTATTCAACGATTTACTGCGATATCTAAATTGCATGTTTATATTTTGATGTTTTCTTCGTATCAGGAGCGAAAGTCTTTGACAATATCTGGGTATCCATCCACATTTCACTGGGAATAAATCAGAATAACCAATGAATATCCCTAAGGATCAGTCAGCTAGCTGTACGGCATGAATGATCAGGGACGAAGATCTTCAAGTACAGAACTCATATCATAGGAGCTTGTTATTCCTAATGTACAGTTGCATACAGTACTCCCTCCGTATGCCTCAAGTGTATATTACATGTCCAAAGCTAGCATCCCATCAATTCGATGGTGAAGCCGTGTTTGACACACTCGCAGCTGTTAACTTGCCGCTGTCATGATGTGACTCCTCCGCTGGCTTGTTCTGCTCAGCTTGCTTTGCGACCGCCGGCTTCTTCCCTTCGGCAGGTTGCGCAGCGCTGTTCTCAGAGGCTTGGGTCGAAGGACTTTTCGAAGGCTCTTCTCCGGATTCAGCAATGCTTTCTCGAGCCCGGATCTCCTCCTCAACTTCATCCTCGTCATCCTCCATCTCGGACCCATACTCCTCAGGGTGCTTTCGGAAACAGTCTTGCATGCCCCTACACAGAGTCAATAGAATCCTAGGTATCACTCCCAGTTACTCACTTGAACTTCTCTATGCACTCTACTCCCTTGGGCTCTTCAGTCGAGTACACAAAGCAGCTGAACGCCGCCTTGAACTCCTCACCGCAGGTTCCGTGTGCCATTCCTCCCAAGCAAGGACAATCCCAATTGATCTCCCCCGTTTCTGGATTGAAAGCCCCTTGTTGACCCGCCTCCTCTTCCAAATCCTCCAATTCCTGCTCTCCGTCCGCCTCTCCCTCAGTCGTAGTAGTCCCCTCAGCAAGCCGTTGCTTGTTCTCCTCTTCTGCAATCACTTGGGCTTGTCTCCGTCTCTTCTCTTCCACTATCGCATCGACCGTCGGCTGTTTCGACTCCTGAACATTTTGTATCGACTCATCAAGCTTGTGGATAGACGCTGCGAGCCCAATCAGCTCATCTAATCATATTATACCCAACCTTCAACCTACCTTCCGGCTCCTCCTCAAACAGACTGCTCGTATTATAATAGTACACTCCCGCACCCGCCAATGCCCATCTCACAGCACTGCTCTTCCAGCCCCTTGACTTTTGCGCTGGTGGCGCCGTGCTTAAAAATCGTCTTGCCGGGCTTCGTGTAAGAGTCGTTCTGGAGGATGCGATACGCCGGGGCGCTTCTCGGAGCGCCGACTTGAACATTCCGGATAGATTCGCAGTCGAGTGCAGAGATTCAGCGAGCGTATAATTGGACAAAGGAAATGTTCGTGGTGGTCATTAGAGCTTAGAGCGAGGATGTGTTTTGTAAGCGTCGGGATTTTTTTTCTCCCCAAGATGGATCTAGCCACGTGATACGATTAGGATCTCGGCCTCCTAGTAACCGACTTCCTATTGTCCCACTGTAACACTCATCGATGAGATAATTAGACTCATTCTTGCCTTTGTATTTAGATCCCTTCTTGTCTTTTGCATTTAAATTTCCTCATCTTCATAGTCGTCGTTCATTTTGCCCAGAATTCCCTAGACTCTGTCGAAATGGCATAAACTCAACCCCATCTTCAAGTTTCTTCCCACAACATCCCCAGAGATATCTTAGTCTTGGCTCCCTCCTACGTACCACAACGTACTACTCTCCCCAATGGCTATGGACCCAGTGACCTCCTGGCAACCAGCAGATATCTTCTCTGCCACCCCCAAGAACCACAAACCCTTCGCCATCATCATCCTAAATCAAGCCCTGGGTCTACCAGCCTCCGTCTACGCCCGTCTCTGGGCGAGCTCCATTTTCAAAGTCGCCGCCGACGGTGGCGCGAATTGCCTGCACGATCTGAACGCCAAAAATGGAACAGACCTCAGTGTCGATGCCGTAATAGGTGATCTGGACTCGCTACTTCCTGAGGTCAGGAAACACTGGGAGGATATGAGCATCCCGGTGATTCATGACCCGGACCAGTATTCAACCGACTTCGGGAAAGCTGTCAAGTATATCCGATCCTCGCCTGATCGAGCGGCTATAGATATCGTGGTTATTGGCGGCCTAGGAGGGCGTGTAGACCAAGGCATGGCTACGCTCTCCCACTTATACACCTTTCAAAAAGAGCCAAATTATGTCTCTGGACGGATGTATCTACTATCCAGCGAAAGCATCACCTTCGTTTTGAAAACGGGTAAGCACCGGATTAAGGTCAAGGAAAGGTACGAGGGGATTGAATTGGGGAGGCACGTGGGCATTATTCCGCTGAAAGAGCCGAGTGTGATAAGTACGCAGGGACTGGAATGGGATGTTAATGAATGGGGGACGGAGTTCGGGGGACAGATGAGTACGAGTAATCATGTCAAGGAGGATGAGGTGGAAGTGCAGACGACGAAGGATGTGTTGTTCACCATTGACTTGGATACACCGAACGCGAGTCTAGCTTAGATTTAGTAGGTTGCTATGTATCCAGACTGCTGAAGCACTTGGCTGGTATTCTACAGGATACTACACATAGATAAATAGATGGATATGTTTCATCGGTCTTATGAGCAACTGACAATCTGCCTCAGCCTACGAGACCAAAATAGGAGGCCTTGGACGAGAGAGAGAGAGAGAGCATACAAGATCAATGATGTGATACGAAGATAGCTAGGCAAGGGCAGGCCCAAGGCTTGAGCTAGAGACACGGAGAAGCCAACCCAGACCGTAACAGCAGTGATAGCTATCCTACACCACGCTCATACAGAGTTCCGTAGATGTTTACCCAACAGACATACCTGCAGTATGACATGGCAGTCTTGCGTCGAGATGCATAAGATAGCGTTATACGTTTGCGAGGCTAAGCGATTCTTCCTTGTCTTCGGAGTTCCTACCGTTGATCGCGCTCAAAGCTTAGATTCCGACTCTCCTACTTTGATTTTCAAGTTTCCTGCACTTTTTTCATCCCATAGAAGGGTTCGATTCAGCATTGTACAGACCAATCGGGTTTGTGGTATTCATTTGGTCTGCAAACCCCTGGTAATTAATTGATTTAACTCCTCCTCTCGACGATCAAGAGTGAAGATTCTGACGATGGTCCCAAAGGCTTCGTAATCTGCCCGGTACAAGATACGATATGAAAACTCTGATCTAATCGCTTTCCTGAAGCGAATCAGTTGAAACCTGGCAGCCCGAGCAAGTCTAAACAGTAGCAGTGGTCCAAAATCCCAAACTGGGCGAATTAGAACTCAAGGGGTATGGCTGGTAAAAAAAAAGGTAGGATCAACTAGTAGCGGAAATCGTGGACAGATATTCGAATCCCTTCGATGTCTCCGATGTAGAGATGTATTCAGAAGGGGTGAGGGCTCGTTGATATATTATAATACAGCTCATCAATTATTGTGCGCTAAGCACCATATGCTTACCAAAAGCTGTTGGAAATACATCTCTAAATCAACATTAGAACACTCCCCTTTTCTACACCGCTCCGACCATCACCCTACGCATCGTCAGTATATAAGGAAATGATCTTCATCCAAGGGGCCCTCACCAGTTTGAAAGGATATGTTTATCGATCGCGTTCAACGCCCGGATTAAGCGAGCGCTAGCGCGAGCAATGGATGAGCTCCGGTAAACAATCGGAAAGGTTGTCCCTGGCCCAGGGACGTGTTCAGCTGAGTGAATTGGCGAGAAAGACACGTAAATATCTGCAAACAAACCTGCCAAGGTTACAATTACTACTCAAGAAAAGTTAGGAGATCCGGCTAACAGAAAATGCAAGATCTGCGTAGTGATTTCCTGTCGTCTCGTTGAATCATAGGTTAGAACTTGCCGATCCCAAACCTCACAGATTTTCAAGGTTTGCTTTGACAGAAATCTCGCATAGGTGTACTAAGTATATAGGGAAGCGGAATCCTAGCCAAAATGATCCGCTCATTGATAACAGAATCGAAGATGATAGCAATAGGCTCCCTACAGGTCGTTAGTTTTCCCTTGGCAACAGGTAATCGCTGAGCACCCGCGAAAGCATACTTCTATCATCCGGCTAGAAGTATCCAAACACTTTAGTCTCTCTTCCATCTTCCTTAAGCAAGTATATTACAAAAAGAGAAACACATATTTCAGCGACCTCAACTGCGCAATGCAATAGAACCTATTCGTCATCTCAAAGGCTTAACTTCCTGAAACGTTTGAGATTAGATGCAGGTATAAATGTAGAAGCGGGAGTAGAAGTAAAAATGACCGCGAGGCTTCCTTCCTATTCAAGAGACAACTACGGGGTCTTGGTAAGTGAATATTGAAGGGATTTGTCAAAACCTCTTATAGGGCTACTTGAGGAAGATGAACTTGTTCTCGGTTCAGAAAAACAAAGAGAAAAACATGTATTCACCAGAACGATTCTTGCTCACAGCTGCGGGCTGCCTTGATTACCCCAGCCCTACCGCTCTCTTATTCATACTCAATCAAGCATTAGGCGAAATTCAATACAGTGACCTAATTATCTATCCCAAAGCAAGATATTCCATCTGAGAAGCAATACCGGAGTCAGCGTCTCTCCTATATATTTTCTTCTTCGCCGAAGACTGATTCCTCAATCGAGTCGCCAACTCGCTGTATCAGCGCCTTGGTGCCTCGTCACCTGGCAAGGGGAGTATTTATGAGTCTCAACCTTTCAAGTTGGGGAGGATTCTAGAGTAAGAAGGACACCGTCTCTGCTACCCCTCTTATGGTCTGATAATATTGGCCGGCAATGAGACGTGCATACAATTTCCCTGATCGAATTTTCTTCCAAATGAAAGAAGAATGTAAAGAGAGGGAGGTATCTGCTAGGTAAGCTATAAACTAAATGTTGGCAGCTTAGTGGTGACAGCCAATGGGATCTTGGCAGTAATCAGAACGGATGCGTGCGTAAGTATCGTAGTGTCTTGATAGTAATGGTGTAAGAACTTCAGGGTTTTTCTTAAGAAGTTAAGTAGCTAATAATATTATTATTATTATTGTTACTGTTGTTACTGTTGTTACTGTTGTTACTGTTGTTACTGTTGTTACTGTTGTTACTGTTGTTGGTATTTTTTGGCTATTTCTTTTGGCTGTTGTTTGACTGGGAATCAAAAGGACTATAGGTTCGGTCCTTGCATGTAGCACTACTTTTATGTAAAAGAAGGAACGCCTTGTGTAAAGAGGATGATATTTTCAAGTTCTCCTTGGTAGGAGAAATCTATGTACCCCTTTAGCGCGCACGTGCGCCTGGGAGGCCTGATGGCCTCAGACCATTACAGTTAGTTACTTTTTCGAATTTAACAGCTATCGCAAGTATTCAAAAGAAAAAATACTAGTCATCTAATGCAACTGAAACTTCGAGTTGATAATTAATTCAAGCTATTTATAGCTACTAAAGCGCGTCAACATGTTATCGTGTTTGTTGTTTGCAAATAATTATTAGATAAAACGTTTTGATTTTGCGAAGCATGTGGTTTTTTAAGGAGTACTAAAGCCAGGTATCCCTGAGCTATAGAATCCAGAACGCTGATCAAATTCTCTAAAACTATGAATAAAGATGATGAACTTCAAAGTAAAAGACGTGGTGAAAGAATGATGCAATCCTATTCCATGAGCAGTCCTTCTCTGCCGTTCCTTTTCCATCGTATTCTCCCTCCAGAGATCCCTCTCCTTCTCTCTCTCTCCGCCTCTTCTCGCTCGCCTTCTTATACCATATTCCTCGCCTGGCGAACTATAAGTACTGTTAGTTAATAGGTGAGTAATATTAGAAAACTCGATAAGAATTGGCCATGGTATTGCCTAGTGAGCCATGTAAGGCTCCGGTTTAGTAATGGTTATAATAAAATAGAAAGGACCGATAGCACTGTATCAGCCACCGATATGACTTATTTTGAATGCGTTATATACTTTGCCGAAAAGAGGAGCTTTAAAGTAAGAGTTATAATGGTGGTGTTAAGTATTAAGTATTATGACAGTAGTGTTAGTAGCGATAGTCATAACGGTGATAGTGGGCAGAGGATCGCTAAAGGGGAAAGGAAAAGGAAAGGAAAGCAAGACTAATCAAGTACTATACTCGGAATAGAATATAAACCAAGACAGAAGAAGCCTGCCTGCCTACTTACTGCTTCGACCAGGTCATAATGGCTAGTCCGGGTCACAATAACCACTACACTTGCCACGCGTAAATGAGCTGCTACTGCCATCCTGATTGTGGTCGGGGGGAGGATAAGGAGGAGAAGGAGAAGGAGTTGGGCTCACCGTCTTTATATACAATCCATGAGTACATACCTAGCCTTAGTCTCCTGTGAATTCCAAGAACTCAATTACAACGAGTAAACGCCTAGGAGTTGCAGTCGCATCTGGAGGTACGTACCTACCTACGTACCCCTTTACGGCCCTTAATATTGCCTCAGAGGCGTCAAAGGTTTTGGCTCTTATTTACTATCTTTGCTTACTCCCTCTTCCCGCCCTCATCTTTAGTCCTGTAGTCCCCAGCGCTTACAATGGGGATCAAAACTGCGCAGCCTTCTGGTGCAGGCCCTGCCCTAGAGCACAGCTTTAAATCGTGCACAGTCTTCCGTCAGTCGCCTACTCGCGTCTCCTTTAAGCTTGGAAAACCTAGAGGAACAGGCTTACCCCCTGCTGGCCAGAAGTATAGACAAGCCTGCTCGATTCGAACCGGTGACTACGAGTAGGAGAGAAGACAACACTTCCGGACGATGATAGCAATGATGGACTGACAACTTCTCCTCCTCGCTCTTTTACTAGAGCAAGCCTACAAAAGAGGTACGCATTCCTTCCCAGAGAAGAATAAATCCTCTCTTGGGCTGTTCATGCACGCAGCACTGCTACCAGCTAAGTAGACCCAAAAAACCCCTCCTCGACTGGATCCGAATTCCTCTCCTCTTATTCTCAAGTTGTGCATGGAACGCATGGAATGGTTTCTCTTATGACTAGGACCGGAGAGTGTTAATTTATGCATTCTCCAACAATGTGAGATCTAGAGCAATACTTCCTTCCACACGTCAATACGCAGCACACTCAAAAATCTATCCACCATTCACCGAAACGCCAAGGAATTTCCCAGTCTTTACTTACCGGTACTGTACCACCTGCAGCTTCACCAGTACAGCATGAAGTCTTACCGAATACCCCGAAAAAAAAGGTACTTATCATTAACATAAAAGCCAAGGCCGAAACACACAGAGAGAGATCGTCAGGAAACCGAATCAAGAGCCCGATCACACTTACGGCGAGATCTTGCTCTGGCCCGATAATTCAATAGCAGTCAGTAGGTATGACCATACTGGACCTCAGTCCGAAACACACGACAGCATCTTCCGAATCCGAATCCGAATCCAATTGAAAGCTACCATCAAGCGTGCGTCCCGCAAGAGGATTATGGAATATATATATATATATTTATATTGGCAGCGAGAAGAAGAAATGACAGTATCAAAGCCCAGGAAACTCTTGACAGCGGAATGACGCACAACGAGTACCCTTACAGGAAACACATACTTCTCTTTCGACGGCGCGAGATGATCGTATCCTTTTTATACCGTCACCTTATACGTGAGTGCCGCATCCATCTACGCTTCGATCAGAGTGATTGATCAGAGGTCTAGAACCCTACCCGATTCGTCTTATGCTAAAGAAGTAGCTCAAAGAGAGATGAGGAAGTGAGCAGCCCCTTTTCATTCCTTTCCCGTCCCCCCCGCACCCCCTCCTTTTTTTTCCTCCTCTTTATTCTTCTTCTTTTGTAGGAAAAGTAAACGGCATCAAAAAACGAAGACTTCATCACGAGAAACAAAACAAAACAAAACGGATTACTAAATAGGAAAGCTCGCGATACCAAGAGAAAAACCACAGGCTGACGATCGAGCGTAGGAGTGAACGCTCAGAAAAACCGAACTGGGATAAGGGAGGGGACTACCGCTAACCTCCCCTCCGTATACAGTATCAGTGTATATATACCAAAGACAGGGATGGGATCCAGGTATCTTGCCACCCTTCTGCGTATACCTGTTTATCATCTACACGTGACGCTCGGCTCGGTTGGCCCCACTACCATGGAAGTCAACTTGAGCAGCGAAATAGTAAAATTGGAAATACTACTACTACTACCTTACCTA